ATGTACTAACCCTGAATGGGAAAACCAAAAATGTTGTTTATCCTGCAGCTTTGCAATAAGTCAAATAGACAAATTATATCATTGTTATGATGAAAACTGTTGTTCAAGTTTAATAAAATTTAATATGTATTCAATGCATGAAATGTCATTGTTGAGCCAAATGTCCAATGAAGAGTCCTCCACAGGAGCCAGATGAAATGCCGCCCATTTAAACTAGTCTATATAAATAAATACGAGTGTCATTGTTTCACACTTTTTGAACTTTACTCCTACAGATATCATACTATTTCGGAATCAGGTTGACTGTGAGCAAATTAAAAACATTATGGGCCGGATCCAGACCTGCAATCCTGACCTATACTAAGTTAAAACTTAATCATTTTTTCTATTCTTCCACCAATATTGTAACAACATGTCCGACTGCAATAGATACCTTTTTGTCTCTGCCCGTAATGAGTGTAAGCATGTCCTCAATGAAGCAAAGTCACTATTTGCTGCTCAAATGAAAAAACATATTGCATGTCGCAAATTCGGCTCCAAGGATTATTGGCATCTCTGCAAGTGCGTACTAAACAATAGCAAACCCTCTATACCTCCTTTGTTCAACCAGTTCAAGGTTCTGACCTCTTCTCCCAACAAGGCTGAATGCTTTGCACGGAAATTTTCATTCAATTCAACACTCGACTTTTCCGGTGTACCCACCCCTGATTTCGCTCTCAAACCTGAGGCTCTATTGAGTGAGCTGCACATAATGCCCAATACTGATGATGGGGTTATCTCTAATTTAGACCCCCACAAGGCGAGTGGTGGAGATGGGATACCAGCCATTGTCCTGAAGAAATGTGCACCTGAAATGACCCCTGGCCTCAATGAATCTTATTTTCCAGATTGTTGGAAGTCCTCATCCATTGTTCCTACCTTTAAGAACTCTGGTGACCCTTCTGACCCTTCTAATTACCATCCTATCAGTCTCCTAGCCCTCTTTGGCCAAGTCTTCGAAGCCTTAATCAACACTGAAGTAGTTAAGCACCTTACATCCTATGGTCTGCTCTCCAACTAGCAATATGGTTTCCACTTTGCCAGTTCTACAGCTGATGTGCTTACGGCCATCACTGAAATTGTTTACCAAGCTCTTCATAATAACGGAGAAGTTCGTGTCGTGGCTCTAGATATCTCCAAAGCGTTTGATAGGGTTTGGCATGCCGGCCTTTTTCGCAAGCTTCAGGGTTATGGAATTTCAGGTCGATTGTTTGACTTAATACAATCATTCCTGTCAAACCGTGTATTGAAGGCCGTTCTCAACGGATTCTCCTCCAGCTCCTATCCCACGAACGCAGGTGTTCCCCAAGGCTCTATCCTAGGCCCTCCTCTGTTCCTTATCTTCATCAACGATCTTCCCGACGTCATAGGTTCCCAACTAGGCATCTACGCGGACGACACTACAATTTACTCCTGCCTCAAAAACAAATCTAGAGTCATTGACAAAACTAACCTGGCCATTTGTCTCAAAAAGGACCTCCAATCGGTTGTGAACTGGGGCAGGAATTGGCTGGTTAACTTTAACACCTCAAAAACGAAACTGCTCTCTATTACCCACCACAGAAAACCATCCCTGCTCCCATTAGAATGTCTGATGCTCAACTTCTTGAGAGCTCCTCTTTGCGACAACTCGGTCTCACATTGACTGCTGACCTGAGATGGAACAAATACATTGAGTCATTAGCTTTGTCCATCGCAAGAAAAGTTGGCTCCCCATGCCATGCCAGATTCCATCCTTCAAATCAACCATTCCCCTTTGCATGGAGTATTGCTGCCATATATGGTCTGGTTCCCCTTATGTTTGTCTCAAGGTTCTTGATAAGATCCAGAGACAGATATACAATGTAATTGGCCCTGATCTGGCATCTCATTTGCAGTCCCTCTCTCACAGACATGCCGTCACCTCCCTCTGTCTTTTTTACAAGTACTTTCATGGTAACTGCTCCGAGGAGCTGCTTTCGCTGGTTCCCAGACTTCATGAATTTAAGCCTTCTACTAGGCTGGCATCTTGTTCACACTTTTTCACTGTCAAAACTGTTGAATGTAGTCGTCTCTTCTACTCCAATAGCTTTATGTCTCGCACCTTTCACCTGTGGAACTCCCTTCCCTTTTCCCCTTATAGCTATAATCGCCAATTATTCAAATGTAATGTCAATCAACATCTCCAGATGCCCTGATCTATCAAACCACTGTAAAGAATGCAACAGGAAACCACTCTGCTATTAATCCCAAGAAATATCATGGCAAATAACACAGACAATTTATGGTACTTTGCTTAATCAAAATTATGAATACATAAACAAAAGTGATTTGAAGAAGTTTCTCTGGATAAGGAATTTTTGAGCTGAGAGGAAGAAGTTGACTGGTCGTCACTGTTATGACTAAACAACCCAGAGTCATAATGGCCTTTTGTCATAATTATCAAAGAGGGATATAAGAAGCTCCATCCTAGCCCTCCTCTCATTGGCGGGCCAATCAAAATTGTGCCCTTGTATCAGTCATTTCCACCTTCAGTGGAACATTTTCCACAATCTTTCCCTCATTTGTCCTGATTATCACAGCTGTTATAGTCACCTCCATCATGATCAAAACAAATCTGACCTGTAAAGATTTATTTTGTGTCATTCATTTCAACTAATAATTGCTTTATCAATTAAAAACAACAATGAGGTCTACATTGATGACCTGGTGTTGTCATTAATGTCCACTTTAATATTTTATATCCTCTAACTCTGTATTGAGCACTTTTACCCACAAATAAATATAGTATACCTTGAAATTATATGCTCCCCCCCCACAAAGAAAAATTCTACAACTAGAAAAAATTATGACGTTTACAAATCAAAGACGTAAACAAAAAGCAGAAATCCATGAATGTGCACATGTAAAAAAAAAAAAAAATTATGAGCACATGTACAAAATAGATTTAAAAAAAAAAAAAAAAAAAAAAACAGAAAAAATTAGAAATATAGCCATTTAAATACAGAACCTCTTGAAGAATGGTTGGCACCAAGAAACTTTGGATCTGGGGATACAACAACTAAAAAGGATTTGATATTTAAAGTAAATTTTAATATTACTAGTGCCATATTTTTAATTTTTTTTTTTTTTTTTTTAATTAATATTGGGCACGATATATAAAAATATTTCCTTAAATTTTTAAATCTTGCCTACTTACATACATAATAAATAAATATATATTTTTCTTTTATGCTTGGAAATGTGATTTGAGGAACCAAGACAAAATCCCTTTCCTGGAGAAATAAATTATAATCAATGGACCCTTAAAATTGTCTGTTTTTTATATATATATATATATATATATATATATATATATATATATATATATACACACTTTTTAAAAATTTTTATTTAGTTACCCAATAACAACCTGTTCCAGGCAGAGAGTGCAAATAAACTGATATTATTTACTCTTAATTTACACCATTATGGGCTATCTTTATCTCGTTTATTTGCACCAATGTGCAAATAAACTTTAATATTTATGGTCTTAATTTACTCTATTCAGTGTCAATGCTTACAAAGTTCACAACAGATAAGAGACATTACCATATTAACTCCAAGTTCCCTAAATGTCACAGTCCTTTTCTTTATCTGTGAATTGCCATAACTTATAAAAAAAATAAATAAAATAATTGTAGAAAAATGGTTTCTCGTTTGCTTCCTCACAATTCTAAATTAAGAGTTCTTTTCTTAGTCTAGTTTCAAAGCTAACAGACTCCAATCTACCCTGCTATTTAACTTGTAGCTTCAAGGGGAGACAAAAATGAATTCACGCCTTCCCCAATATAATTAGCATAAAAATGAATGCAACATTCACAGACAAAACTTGGAACTTTGCTCACTGAATACTACTACCCTCACCACTATTCACAACACAAGCATGTCCCTATGTACATTACCTATACTAACATTCCAAAATCTGGAAAATTCCAAATTCCAAGAGGTTTTGTATCCGACTGCATACGTGAAAGAATTATTATAATAAATAATTCTATCATAGTCCTTAACAGGTAAGGTCCCTAAAGGTGATTGTTAATTGCCAGTCATTGGAAACATATAAGATCAATGCTGGTATTACCCAGAATTCTCTCCTCAGTTCTTTCTACTAATGATCTGCTGAAGAGTAGATGCCAATCATTAATGAGTATCTATGCCTTTTTTTTTTTTTTTTACTTCAGGATTCACTAGTAAAATAAAAAACTAGTGAGTGCACTTAAATTTTAACCTTTAGCACTCTGCATTATTAACATTACTTCCCTTTCCACGGTCTCTTAATTGGAGTATCCTTAAAATTGTTAATTTAATTCAAAGTTGTTTTCTGTTGCCATAGAAGGATATGACAACACAACTATGAAATTCAAACACTATTGTTCAGGGCTCAGAGTCAGGTTCAGTGACAGGATAAATGTTTTGTACAGCAAATGAAATCGCATAGAGTAATAAAGCTTAATAAGGAAAAAAATAGTCATGAAATTTGAAAACAGGAAAATAAAGTCTCCTGAAATAAGCACTTATTTTTAAGACGTTACATTGAATATTTAAGTCTGCTTGTGTGAAACCTGTGCTTGATGTGTTTTTGGCAGCAAAGAAGAAAATCATCTTTAATGATTGTCATTTTTTGTTTATTTTCCCCAAAGAGGATTAGCAGTAAAGTTTTCATTTAAATGTACTTATGAATAATCTACAATTTTCTTTTTAGAGAGGTCGATATAGACCAATTTAAATCCATTGAGGAAGGCAAAGAATTATCCACTTGTTCTTAAAAGATTTTTTTGAGATAATGATTTTTACTGACACAAGTTCTACTAATTAACCCATAGCTTTGTGTACTGGTGGATTCATACCTTTCCCAAGACTATTTGCATGCAAGTGAATATAATGACCCCAACACATATGGGAACTCTGCTCTCCAATTAAAAATTCTGAGGCATTATCCATTACAGCACCTGGTATTCCCAAGCTGTCACCTATCTTATGGACTGACCAGGCTTGACAGTGCTTAACTTCGGTGATTGTATGGGAACCAGTATTTCAACATGTGACCATAAGCCCCAAACTTCAAATGGAAAATTTTATAATTCTACAACACTACCTTGAGTGGCCCTTGGGCCCTGTATTGGGTAAACATTAGTATTAAAAAATAAAGTTCTACTTGAATTTTCTGAGTTAATGATTGAATCAACTCATTGCCAGTCTTACCACGATAAAATGTGTGTAGAAATTCCCCAATTGCATCATTAAATATTTGAGCTTCACAAAAAAATAACGATCACAAGGATGAATGCAGGTTATTATTGAAAGTAGTAAGAGGGTACAAATTAAAAAAAAATTGACAAGGTTTTCCATTTCACTGAAGCAGACATTCCATGCATTAGCACTTGCATTTATGTATGCTTTCTTTTTCTCAATAGAACCAAAGTGTTTCCAATATATCTTTTTTCTGTCATTCCTCACAATCAAAAAGGAAATGGTCCATGATTTATCTGAAGCAATGGCAGAGTGTAGCACACATGGTAACTAATGGAGGAACAAGCAGAATTAGAATATGAAACTACATCTTGGAAAACTAGACAAGTTTTTGATCACACCAAAATGACTTCCAAACACGAACATGGAGACAGAATAAGGCTGCCCAAATTAGAAACTTTCTATTGACCATAGAACTAGAATACAAAAAACAATTCATACAGTTGAACATGGAAATAAAATAAGGCTGTCTATATGAGAAACTTTATATTGGCTGCAGGACTGAAATACCAAAAAGATATACAGTCTACCATGGAAGAAGAATAAGATTGTTCCTAAGAGAAATTTTGTAGTAGACATTTTCTGTACCATATTTAATTTGTGGTTTTCAATAGGCAGTTCTGAAATAGTGAAATTTATCCTAAATGTCCATGAATAATGTATCAGCAAGTGGTCAAGTTTCCAGGTTCAACAGATTGATTCTGTAACTCTGGAGATTCATAATAACAGAGTAGGCACATACAAAAAAAAAAAAAAAAAAAATAATGAAATCTGAAGTAATTAGAATTTTTACAGGAAAAAAAGAAAACAAGGAAATTTCAAGATGGTTATTTTTTTTTTCCATGTATGGAGGCATATTTAAGCAAGAATCCTCTCTAAAAGTCCAGAGAGAAGGCTTAAAAAAAAAACAACAAAAAAAAAACAAACAACAAAAAAAAAAAACAACAAAAAAAAAACAACAAAAAAAAGAAAAAAGAAAAAGAAAAAAAAAAAAAAAAAAAAAAAAAAAAAAAAAAAAAAAAAAACAACAACCCCCCCCCCAAAAAAAAACAACAAACAATTTACTATACTTACTTGTTTTTCATTATATGCAGGTTCCAAAGCTTCATTAGTTCTTTTTCTCCTTCATTAACATCTGTAAACTCATCGATCATCTGGAAAGAAAAAAAAATGAAATGGATACTTCAGGAAAAAGGGATATATATTTATAAATAAATATAAATTATAAAAAGACCACATATATAGTGCTGGTGTTAATAAAACAGTGCTTGATGTAATATAAAAGTGCTATTAAATATATATTAATAAATATGTATTATCACTTCAAAACTACAACAAAATTCTCACTTGATTGATTTGAGCAAAACTCTACTGTTGTGACATTGCACACTCCAAGACATTTAACTGTCAATAAATAGCATAATTTAAAAACAACAACAAAAAAAAAAAACCAACCAAAAAACATCTTTCAGTCTACACTACGCATATTTCATCTTCGTGTTTGCCTGTGTATAAAAAAATTGCACCCTGAAAACGACAATTTAAAACTGTCGAAGGTACTTGGCCCGTCAATTCCATCTGACAACAACTTAAATATAAGGATCATATTATTCAAGGAATTGATAGTAAGTTAATGTCTCATTAAGTTTTGTTAGCAAAGTGATTTTGCCATTAATCACATTAACATTTCTAATTAATTCTTTGTATAAATTGCTTCTTTATGATATTAATAAATGTGACACTGAGTTGTCAGCCCATGGTCAACTCCAAGTCGTGGCGTGAAACTGATATTTCTCCTACCAGCGTTTTGGGGTTGACTCTTAATCACTGCCACCAACCTGTGTCCTGGGCATTTGGTGGTCATTGTTGCCCGGCGGGATCCTTTGGTCAGGGTACCAAGTGGGATGGTCGGTCGATTTCAAACGGCTTCACACCAGAGATCAATCAGACATAGGGCCATAGTGTAAGATGAGTCTAAACTAGAGGTGATATCACACAAGCATAAAGAAAAGAAGCAAATAAAAATCCAAGGCGTTCAAGTATGTTGAAAGAAACAAATCAACTTTTATCCATCTGTTATATACAGGAGTGTGTGTTTTTTCTCCCAACTCGTTTCTTCGGAGAGTGACACTTTTATACTTCTTAGGCAAGTTCTGGTCTTGTAAGTCAACTGGTTTAGTTTTTAGGTGCTGGCTTAGCTTCATTCATCAGTATAACTTGCTATTGGTAGGAAAGGCGAAGTTGGAGGTCGTGGAATCTCTCAGCCAGCATCTGCAAGGCAACACTCTGGTTCCTGCAACTAGAACTTCTGGACTGAAACTTCTCAACAACTACTACTGCCAAACTGCCCGAGGGCACTCACTTATATGAACACCAACCAAAAATGGTGTGGGTTAGACACGGCCTGGGGTTTTCAGTAAATCCCGATTTCTGACAAGGGACCTCTTTGTTGGCTGGCTGGCTAGGAAAACTGATTACTTCCCATTTTGGGAAAATTAATTACTTTCCATTTTTAGAGGAATCCCTTTGGTCATGAGGAGAGGTTGCAGGATAGCTATCCTCCCAAACTCCCTCCTTCTCACATTGGTATCTCATACCAATTCCTTTCAGTGGGCGTTAATAATTTCCCCATCTTTCTCATCAAATTGTCTCCGCCTATCACCATTGCTACCACTCGACCAATGGTGTTCCAGCCTTGCAGGCTTCATTAAAATTATAAACTAGAGTTTTTGTTTTAAAAAATCTTGTTCTCACTGGCAAAAATTCTTACAAATAACACATGGCTCTGTCCCTTAAAATCTCTGATATCTTCAACGCTCCTGGCCACTTTGCATCATTTTAACCTATTCTTTTACAAACAACATCAATTGTCAAAGTCTGCGGGAACCCTTGGCTTCTTGGAAAAGAAAAATAAATCTCTTTATCTTCAAATCGGCAATTCTTTCGAGATATTTTCTCATGCCAAAATTGTATTATCAACACATGGCCACTTAAAACCATATCCTCGATGCTTGGTTATTCTGTTTTTCTCGACCAGTCCTTTTACAACACCATCAATCGTCAAAGCCTGCCATTTTGTCCCCTTTGTGCAATTTAGCATCTATGCGAACCCTTGGCTTCTTTGAAAAAAATAAAAAATAATAAAAAAAAAATAATGGTAATTCTCTCCTCATATTGGCAAATATTTCGGAATATTTTCTCATACCAAAATTTTTATAGTCAACATATGGCCTCATCGCCTGGTCGACTTCTAAAATCTTGCAATTTTGAATGAAATCTTGTTCTCGGGTTTTTCTTTAACCAGTACTTTTACAAACCTCATTAATCAACTGTCAAAAGCTTGCATATGGCCTTTTTGTGAGTCCACTGTTTACGCCAACTCTCAGGTTTTTGAGAAAAGTAACTTTTTGGGAAATAAAATAAAATCTTTTTAATATCAAACAGTACATCTTTCGGGATATCTTCTTTCCATTCTTAGTATTTTTTGTTTAATTTTTTACGGTTAATTAGTTAATCAATTACCATAGCTAAATAGTGTCACATAAATATACATATCCTTCATAGCTAGCACAACTCAGTTTCATGCACAATGCAATCTTAAGGCGTTAAGTATGGACTGTTACTTAATTTGAATTCTAATATATCTGGTTATCACAATGCCGGTGCAGCTATATATTATGCTGGGATTCTGGATAACTGTATTTAAACAGACATTTATTTTTAGGCCTACAAGTAATCATCAATTCATTTCTTTTGTTTAATAAGCTCAGATAATTTAAATGTTTTAAGATAACCAGTTTTTCAACAAGACATAAGTCACATTTATTTCTTTTTCCATGATAAGCTTAGACTATTGCGATAATATTCCCGTTAATAGAAAAGGAACTACCATTATTTTTTTTAATTGCCAGAAATATGAAGAGATATCAGTGCCGTTTCTGTATTTTATATTACCTCGTCATTTAATCATGGTAAAAATGAAATTTCCAAAGATTTTCAGTGGAACCAAAATAAAATTTAACATCACTACCAGAACATGTGCTTGCTCAGTATACAATATTATCAATCATACATTGACCATTTAAGTGACAGATCATATTTTTTCAGCAGTTGCATTTATTTTTAGAAGAATTTACATTGTCTTTGTTGGAAATGTATTTGTTTAATATAATGTTATGATGGGAGATGGATATGTCTATGTTATTAACACAGCTATAACTGATCTTAAGATTTTTGTTAAAAATCTTTTTTAGTGTTAGTGAATGATTAAAGTGCTTATGAATTAAATTTAGGAAAATTCTTCTGATATTAGTTCAGACATTATGGTTAATAGGTGGATTAAACCATATGTTGTGTTTACAGTATTTTTACCTTCCTTGTTTATTTCTAAATATTCGAAATTTATGATTACTTAGTTCTAAAGTTTTTATATATTTAATTTTATATTTATTTCCTTACTGCTGGAGTTGGTGGATAATCTGACTTGGAATAATTTATGTAAATTATCTAGAATTCTGTGGTAGTGGTTTGGTTTTGTTTACGGCATATCAACCTCAATAGGTCATTTAATGCCGACAACTTTTTTTCCTGGTAATATTTTTGTTTTGCCAAAAATTGATTTTTGTTAATATTTTTTCCTCAAAAATGTATAACTTGGTAATATTTTTTCAAAAACATTTAGCTGGTAATATTTTTTTCCTTTAAAAAAATTTTTTTTTTTTTTTTTATTTCTGGTATTAAAACCTATTTTTACACTTAATGCGTTTTACCTCAGTTTCAGGGTTAACTATTTGCCCATAGCTGGGACCCTAACGGGTGCTACCGCCCCGGGTCAGGGTCGACCTGGGAACACCAGCAATTAAGAGGTGGTTCCACACTCCACAAAGCCTCCTGATCAGTGGCCTTGCTGTTGGATGTAGTTTGTCATACCCTGGATGCGGCAGTGGTTTAATTAACATATCTATGGTCAAATAGATATTTTGTGTATGGTTTATAATAACCATTATTTATGTCTAAGGTTATATCGAGAAAGTTGACCACTTTAGCATTGGTGGTTATATATATATATATATATATATATATATATATATATATATATGCAAGTGAACATAGAAGTCAACATTTAGAGGCGCCAGTCTGTATCAGACCAGACGATTGTGTCTAGTATGATATATAAGTCATTTTTTATGTTTATACGTTCTTTTTATAGATACAAATATTTAAGTAAATGCTTTGTTTATAATAAACAGTATTAACGACATTTACCAACCTGAATGTCAGAGAAATATTCATAGAAAATATGCGTGGATATGTCTGGATTAACCAATTAAATGCCAGATCTACACTAAATAGAAGAGTAAGGTCAAAGGGTGGAGGTGGGCGAGTTATTTTTTCTTCATCTCGTGATAAATTGAAGTGTAGACATGGCATCATTGTCACTGTCATATCCTCCACAATCATCAATGATGTCATGTCTATGAGCACTCCCCACTGCCTATTACAATATTTATGATATGTACGTACAGTATTCTGAATAAATTAATTTCCACCTTATCTTCCAGGAATATAGCCTTATGCTTAGCCTTAGCACAGGGACTTTTCTTCGGAGCCATGGGCAAAAACATTTTAAATCACAATTGAAGTATAATTGAAAGAACGGCAACAGCAGAGGACAGATGTAAACAAGTCTGAATTCAAAATTGGTGTTGAAGCAGAAAATAACGAGCGTCGGCTATTGGCAGGAATTTGAAATAAGAACATTTGCTGAACATACCTTATGTTTTTTTTGTGATTTTATAATATATAGCATACATATGAGATATGCATAATGTAGCACTGCCAACTTAAGCATTTGATATCCCTACAATATAATAGAGTTCATATTCCAGGGAAACATCACAGTTGTGATGTATCTATAATTAACTGATGCATATAAAAAATAAAAATGAAGCCTTTGTTTGCATTTAATTTAAACACATTGTCTCAAGAGAGGACTAACAAAAAAAAAAAAAAAGGATTAATAAAAAGACTTACATTAATTGTTTTCTGTCTCAGCCATTCAGGGTCATTTTCATCCTCACTGTCAATATCAATTTCCTGAGGTCTTATAGGCTGACAAGTGACTGTGTGATAATAAAGCCTGAAAAATATATCAAATATGTTCAGAAGATTGTGCCCAGAATACGAGCGTGTGAAATAGATATTAGCAATGCATGTAGAAATTCTAAGGTATAATTTAACTTTACCATGCCAGAGACAAAAAATTGTCACCATAGAATTCTCTCCCTTCGCACACTGTAGGTGCATTCTGTCACCTCATTGCTGGTATTTTAAGCTGGAGATAACCTACTACTACTTTGAACAAGGTTAAAAGTACCATTTCCTGATGCCATTTCAAATTCTTGTACACACTACATGACGTGTCACATCAATAAAACCCACATTCAATTTTTCATGATTTTTTTGTAAACAAAAAATGGTCACATCAACATCCAACAAAGTCTTTATTCAGAAATTTTTCTTTGATTCGGATTACAATGATAATTTTAAAGACTTTACTCAAATGGATACTGATGCACTACTGATACTGATGCAATTGGTCAGGAGACAATAACCATGCTTGTGACATGGAGGAAAGTGATGATTACCACTAGGTGCTGAGTGACTACCATCATCCATGGCTGACTAATTTTATAGAAACTACTGGCCCCATGGATGTACCTGATAACCTTTCTGAAATTGAATTATTTTGTCTATTTATAAAATAACTTCATTTGTTAACGAGACAAATAAGTATGCTAGTCAGGTGAAAGAAAGAGGAAACAAATGTTGGTGTCTTCTCATATGTAAACATGAGGAAGGACGTAATTTTTGATGAAATGAAAGCCTTCTCAGACATTTTGCACCTTATTGCACCCCAGAACTCCATCAAGATTAATAAAATTTCAAGTATGTTAAATTGTTAATGTATTTCTTTTTTTATTTTGTTTCAATTTTTTTATTTTCAACATCAAAACAAGCATATATAATGCATTATATCAAAATATTACTAACCCATTCTTTTATTAGTACACAAAAAATAAAATCTGTACACACAATACAAAGTAAGTTATAACAATTTAAAAAAAAAAAAAAAATAAATGAAGTGACGGGTGAACAATTCCAGAAAGAATTTAGTGGGATAAAGGTTAGAATAAAATACAAATTTAACTATTTTAGACAGAAAAAAAAAACAAAAAAAAACAAAAAAACAAAAAAAACCCTCTTTCAAGGAACAAATCAGAAAACATTTTACCTCGGACTTCATAGCCCCCCATGTTATCACTAATTTCACCAATTGAATACCATATTTCAGCTTGTTTTGTAAAAAAAATCTATAATGGATAAATTTAAAAATTCTAAAATCATTATGACAGTGTGTTTGCATGTTTTTTTAAAAATCACTATCACAACAGAATGCAGATTTTAATATAGTTACAATATGTGGTCTTTGTAATATACACCTGAAGATGATGAAAAGGCCGAAAGTACTTGGGGTTAAAAAAACAACAAAAAAAAAAAAACACAAGAAAAACTGGCACCTTCCTTGATGAATTTCATCTTAACATCAAGAAACTTATTAGACAACTGGAAAGTATCAGTATAAAAATAAGTAGACACAATAAGTCCATATTATTCAATGAAGCATATATATATATATATATATATATATATATATATATATATATATATATTTTAACATTCTCATTAAATAAGTTTTTAGTTTTTTTTAAAAATATTTTAGACATTAAAATAACTTAGTTACCTCCCTTGACGTTTGCATGTGAGCCAACAATAAAATTTAAAATTGTACAGTACATAACCATAATGTTTTTCACTTCACACGTAAATTAGAAGGGAAGCGTCTTATGTGCTATTAACTAGTGTGTGTGTGTGTGTGTGTGTTACACATGAATACACGCCAACAAAATCTACACAAGAATACTGTGCCAAAAATGTGAAAGCAAGAATATGATAGAGCTGGATTGTGTCACGTGCAACAAAAGAAATAAAAAAGAAAAGTCAAGGAAACGACAAGAAGACTAAGCTTATAGTAAACAAGAAACATTCTATTTTAATTTTGTTTTGGTCAGTGGGCTAAAATCTTGTTTTGGTGCTAACTTACCGATTATGTCCCTGGATAAACTGTCGGTTGATTTGGTTGTCTGTTTCTGGCTCCATAAATTCTGATAACGATGGGTCTGGGCGCTTTGGTCTTGATTAAATTGCAAGGAAGCAGTTTTGAAAGGAGAGAGAAAAAAAATTATATAAAATGGATGAAAAAAAAATAGCAAAAGACAAGAACAGAAAAGCCAAAAAAGGAAGAGGAGAAAAACAGACACGAGAAAAAGTAAAAGGCTGAACAGAAAAAAAAAAAAAAGGAGAGAGAGAGTAAAAAAAAAACAAAAAACAAAAACAAAGGAGGAGGCAAAAAGAGGAGGAGAAGAGGAGGCGGCAAAAGAGGAGGAGAAGAGGAGGCGGCAAAAGGGAGGAGAAAGAGGAGGCAAAAGAGGAGGAGAGAGGAGGAGGGGCAAAAAAGAGGAGGAGAAGAGGAGGCGGCAAAAGAGGAGGAGAAGAGGAGGCGGGTAAAGAGGAGGAGAAGAGGAGGCGGCAAAAGAGGAGGAGAAGAGAGAAAAGAGGGAGAAGAGGAAGAGGAGGCAAAAAGGAGGAGAAGAGGAGGCGGCAAAAAGAGGAGGAGAAGAGGAGGCGGCAAAAAGAGGAGGAGAAGAGGAGGCGGCAAAAAGAGGAGGAGAAGAGGAGGCGGCAAAAAGAGGAGGAGAAGAGAGGCAAAAAGGGAGAAGAGGAGGCGGGGTAAAAGAGGAGGAGAAGAGGAGGCGGCAAAAAGAGGAGGAGAAGAGGAGGCGGCAAAAAGAGGAGGAGAAGAGGAGATGCAAAATAGGGAGGAGAAGAGGGCGGCAAAATAGGAGGAGGAGAAGAGGAGGCGGCAAAAAGAGGAGGAGGAGGAGAACAGGCGGCAAAAAAAATAGGAGAGGAGGAGAACAGGCGGCAAAAAATAGGGAGGAGGAGGAAACAGGCGGTAGGGAGGAGGCGGAGAACAAAACAAAAATGAGGAGGAGGCAGAAGAACAGACAGCAAAATATGAGGAGGCGGCAGAAGAACAGACAGCAAAATATGAGGAGGCGGCAGAAGAACAGACAGCAAAAAATATGAGGAGGCGGCAGAAGAACAGACAGCAAAATATGAGGAGGCGGCAGAAGAACAGACAGCAAAATATGAGGAGGAGGCAGAAGAACAGACAGCAAAATATGAGGAGGCGGCAGAAGAACAGACAGCAAAATATGAGGGAGGCGGCAGAAGAACAGACAGCAAAATATGAGGAGGCGGCAGAAGAACAGACAGCAAAATATGAGGAGGCGGCAGAAGAACAGACAGCAAAATATGAGGAGGCGACAGAAGAACAGACAGCAAAATATATGAGGAGGCGGCAGAAGAACAGACAAAAATATGAGGAGGCGGAGAACAGGCGGCAAAATATGAGGAGGCGGCAGAAGAACAGACAGCAAAATATGAGGAGGCGGCAGAAGAACAGACAGCAAAATATGAGGAGGCGGCAGAAGAACAGACAGCAAAATATGAGGAGGCGGCAGAAGAACAGACAGCAAAATATGAGGAGGCGGCAGAAGAACAGACAGCAAAATATGAGGAGGCGACAGAAGAACAGACAGCAAAAATATGAAGGCGGCAAAGAACAGACAGCAAAATATGAGGAGGCAGGACAGCAAAATATGAGGAGGCGGCAGAAGAACAGACAGTAAAAATTTACAACAGGCAGGAAAAAAAGGAGAAATAAAAAATACAGTGAAGAACATATGGCAAAAATTATCAGAAGATAAAGAACAGATGAAGGAAAATATTTTTGTTCACCTGTATACAATGACATGGGTGACAGGTGTCCTTCTGACAGGACCATTACGACTGAATGCGTAACCAATATGAGAATGGAGATCCTGAGGGTTGCCAACATATGAACCATCGTATCGCTCATTGATGGACACATCTATCCTGGCACCTTTAGGATGAGGCTGAAAAAGAAAAAACAATGAGGCTGAAAGAAAGAGAGAGTGAAAAAAAAAAAGAAGAAAAAAGTGAGGCTGAAAGAGAGAGAAAAAATGAGACTGAAAGAGAGAGAATAATTAAACATATAAAAAAATGCATAAAAAAATAATTTAATCATACTAGAGGCCCCTTTAAAACAGTCCTAAAGTATAAAAAAAATAAAAATAATTAATCCATCGTTCAATACACCTCCATATTTCAATTTATCTTATGTGTGTCCTTAAAAGAAAGTGAGGATGATATGTCTAATACAGGAGAGACAATTCTAGCCAAGCATGAATTACATACCTATACCTAACCTCTAACATACTATTTTCACTTTTCCACTAATCTGTATTTGGATTTGTCAAAACAGCCCATAATAAAATTTTGAAATCCCATTCCTCGCTCCCACTTAAACTTTTCAATATAATACTACTTCGCTTGCAAAAGTAAATAATTTTTTGTTGAAGTTATTCAAAACTGTTTAAAAAGGGAACAATAAATTTTAACTTCTTTTTTATGCTCTACTTTGCATTGAGCACTTTTTAAAAAATAAATGCTAAAGAACTGTAGATTGTTAATATAACTGTTCTTTCTCTTTATTTCTGTGTGTGTGTGTGTGTGTGTGTGTATATATATATATATATTAGTGATCCCTCATTTATTGTGGTAGATTGGTTCCAAGACAAGCCATGATAACTGAATTTCTGTGAAGTAGGGAGACACCATATTTACAGTATTTATTTAATGTGTATTTGGACTTTTAAAACCCTCCCTGTACTTTTAACAACCCACCCATTACAGTACTCTATTAATAACAAGGACAACTGTTAAGCAATAACATTTTAGATTAAAAAAAAAAGAAAAAATAAAGATTGTTACTGTATTCAACACAAAAGAAGTTGAAGTAGAATTTGAATGATGATGATGATGAATTTGCTGCACAGTAGAAATGATGATGATGAAGCTGATGATGACTTCTACTGTGCAGCCGATAATTGTATTTTATGTCTCTTCCGATGGCAGTGCCGTTTCTATTGCTATTTTACGCTTGTTTTGTTGTTCCTAGACCAGGAAATAATATTTATTATTACTATTTTAATGGGTTTAATGAAAAATTTTAGGTATTCATATATCGCGATTTTTCTAGAATTTTCCAGAAACTCTGCGATATATTTTCCATATATATATATTTTAAAAATCTGCAAACTTGTGAGTCTGCGATAGTAGAACCGTAAATTAGCGAGGGATCACTGTATATCTCAATCTCTCTCACACACAAAGAGGGATGTAAAAGAGGGATGACTGAGTATTAAATAAAACCGGCCGGTGTACACTCTGGCCTTCTTCAGGTGGTTGGAATTTCGAACTGAACCCTTTATTTCCTCAAGGACACATGGCACAGTGGATAAAGGCGTTGGTTAGATCTAGTGACAGGACCAAAAGAGAGTGAGTTCAATACCCAGTTAAGGCAGTGGAGAACTTTCAGAGGGAAATTCGCAGGAGATAACTGATAACTGACATCCATCAAACATGGCATGTGGAACTAGAACAGTCTACCCCAGTGAGCGAAATAAAGGGTTCAGTTCGAAATTTCAACCAACTGAAGAAGGCCGGAGCGTACAACGGCCGAAACGTTGTGATAAATATGGCGACAAAGATGAGGACAATAGTCTGAATAATGTACATAATACCTCATCTCAGAAATATAGACAGACTCTAAAGGTATTATGAGATATCAGACTCTTAAAAAAAAAATAATTTTTAAATCTGTCACACAAGTAGTGGGCGATTAAAATTGTTGGAATGACTTGACTTGAGTGTATCAAATCCATCCTTGATAATTTTGAATCCAACTGTTTCAAAAAGAAAAAAGTAATGTGAACCATAACTTACAAACACAAATGTCAAGATTATTTGTTGGCTAAGCAAATTGGAATTTTTTTTCAAAGAAAGAATAAAAAAGTGTTTAGTGAAAGTGTAAACTCTACAATTAGATTATGCAAGAAAAATTACTTGTACAATTATGCTTTTCTGAGGTTAAATATGTGCATGCACGCATGTGACTGTATATACAAGTGTGAAGAAAAATATACAGAAAAAAAACAAACAAAAATCTTAATATGCAATTATGCTGTATTAATTATGTTTTATGAATATGTCCTGATGATGGTCTAAAATAGACCGAAACGTCCGATGTTGACATTATATTAACATTAACACAGCATAATTGCATATTAAGATTTTTGTTTGTTTTTTCTGTATATTTTTCTTCCTACTGTCGGATGTATATCCATATATTTGCTTACATATATAAGTGTATATGAAGGAGAGAGAGAGACAGTGCAAGTGTATATATGTGTGTGAGGGTACACGGTGCAGTGCATAATTATAAAGCCAGCTGAATTTTATCTTTAAACTTTAGCAATTGAGATAATTTTTTAACATTTTGCATATTATTTTATAGTATTAATAATCTGAAAGTTTCAAATAATTTCTTTGAGTAGAAAATCAGTGATTGTAAACTTATTCAAAAACTTGAAAAACAATTGGTACATAATTATAAGGACATTTTAAAAAAACAGCACTGCAAATTAAAAATCAACAATCACTTAAAATTTTATAAATTATTATTAAAGAGTTACCAGCATTTGCACATAGAATTGATACAAACTATATTAATATTTTTTACCAATATCAATGATTAAAATTCATTATTTTCAGGCCCTACAGTTGCTTCGGGAAACTTAATGAACAAAGTACATTTATTAATAAAACATTTAGTAGAAAAATGAATATAAAAGTTTATGAAATAAAATTAGATATCCTTTTTGTTTAAAAATTGGGTAAGAGTTTAACCAATAAAGAGAACAATTCTTTAAGTAAATCACTTAAGTACCTAGCTACTCATATTTAAGTCCTAAAATTCTTAAATTATAATGTAGGAAAATTATCATCTGTTTCGCCTTTCAGCCAATTTCTTTTTGGAAAGTAAATGTTAACTCCAATACTAAATAACCGTTCACTTTCAACAAGAGAGAGAAAGATGCTGATAGCACTTTTAGCCAGAAATTATCTATGATCGGAAATTCATTTTTATTTGAATTCTACCACTGAAAAACATTATCGTCACTTTTTATATTTTTAAATGCAATATATTTGTCCATTTCAAGTTTTAATAAATGTATTTCTCTTCTTGTTTCACTGACTGCTTTATACTGTGTTCTCGTAAACATTAGCTTCCATTTTCCTCCATCACTTTTTTTCTTTGATTCAGTGAGGCACTTCATAAAACCGAAATTAAAGTCCCTATCATTATTCTCTTCAGACATGTCAGACAAGTCATTCTTCATGCCTTGTAATATTTTGGGTGAGGTATGTGTGTTTTTCCTTTGGTTTTTGAATAGATATCGAGTGAACTATTCTGCAATAATCTTGTCATTAGGCAGGCTACTGTAGTCATTTTCGAAGAAACCCGTCTTTAAGCTGGGATCAAGATATGTTGCTAAAATAAGGTTTTTGTAACCCAAGTAGCAGCTAAATCTAGCATTAAAAGAAGCTTTCCATTCTGAAAGGGTTGAACCTAACCCATCAAAACAGTCCTTTTTAAATTACTAGTCAGAGATAAACGACTCGTAGTGTTAATTTCATCCTGTATCTTATTTATAATATATCTTGCACAATATCTTCTTTTATATACAGTAAAACCTCGAATTAACAGTCCCAGAATCAACAGACTCCAAATTTAATGGATAAAACCTGCAGAAATGGTTGTGTCCGGCTGGAACTCAAAACACCTGTGCACAGCGAGCAAAGTCTGTTAGTTCCAGAATTGACTGCTGTTGTTTACTGTTTCAAACACAAACCTTCTGGGTATAGCCATGGCTTCAGCGCTTGTCATGTCGACACATGCATTTTATACTGATTTTGGTACAGTATACAGCATTGTTTTTTTGTCAAGCCCTTCACTATGGCATTCATTTGTGTGTGTAATTTATTTTAAGTTACTATATAGTAACTTAAAAATAAAATACGCATACATATATACTGTATTTACATTAAATTGAGGTTCTACAGTATTTTTGAGGAGGAATTTGATAATTCAGACTTATATGATTCAATAGTCTTAAAACCAAGGTCTTCTCCAACAGAAAAAGGTTGCAGATCAGTTGCAATCATTTCTCCAATACATTCATAAATTTTAGGGGCTTTGTTGTCATTTATATCCCAAGTTTCACTTTCATCAATAACTTCATGTAAAGTTTGTTGCTTAAAAGAATGGCTGACAAATTATTTTCATTTAATTATAGTTGAACAGTCAATAGACAATGTTCTTTTCATCTCTTTCCTTTTCTCTTAGAGATCTATGTCATGCTTTGTATTTGAGCGTTACAACATATTTGTTGTGAAGAAGGCAGCTTTCGCTCCTCTAGCTATTTACATATCACACAACTGACATATTGCTTTAATTTGGTTATCTTCAGAAATATTAAAAAAACTTCCACATTTCTTCTTGGCATTGGATACACTTGACATAATTAGGGTTTGAAAATAATAAATATCAGTTAAAATTTAAATTTTTCACTGTTAGATAAATTTTTTTTTCTAGTTTTCTAATGTGTATAATTTGTAAAGATTTAACTAATGGTTTGCTATTAATTGTAAAATAAAAAAAAAACAGTATTTTTTTTTTTTGGACCTTATATATTTTAAGTTTTAACAAGCAAAGGCACCCTCTGAATATTATGCAATCTCCTTAAAATTTTATGTGGAAGTTTTCACTGAATGGAGAAAATCTAAGGATGACAATTTAATTTCAGCATGCTCGTCAAAAATGAGACACCTTAACACATAAATAATATCACAACAATAATACTCTAAGTAGGAAGTCATCATCCTATGTATTATATTCTAACTCATACATATATTTTGGTAAAGTGCAAGGAGCACCTAATTCTGCAGGACTAATAAATAAATTTTAAGTTTGCTTACAGGCAATTAATAACAATTAAATATGAATTATCACAACAACTTAATAAATAAATAATAAAGGCTCTTCCATCTTATCTAAAAAAATGTAATCATTAATAAGTTTTACTGTACAGTATTTACATTAGTCGGACAATTGTCCTCATCTTTGTCGCCATATTTGTCACGACGTTTCGGCCGTTGTACGCTCCGGCCTTCTTCAGGTGGTTGGAATTTCGAACTGAACCCTTTATTTCGATCACTGGGGTAGACTGTTCTAGTTCCACGGTATTGAACTCACATTCTTTGGGTCTGTCACTGGATCTAACCAATGCCTTTATCCACTGTGCCATATACCCAGTTAAGGCAGTGGAGAACTTTCAGAGGGAAAATTAGTAGGAGATAACTCATAACTGACATCCATCAAACATGGCACGTGGAACTAGAACAGTCTACCCCAGTGATCGAAATAAAGGGTTCAGTTCGAAATTCCAACCACTTGAAGGCCGGAGCGTACAACGGCTGAAACTCTGTGACAAATATGGCGACAAAGATGAGGACAATAGTCTGACTAATGTAAATACTGTACATAATACCTCATCTCAGAAATATAGACAGACTCTGAAGTTTTACTGTCTAAAATAAATTTCTCACAACTAAATAATTTTTAAAAAGAATCAAAAGCTTTATTTTTGTTAAAAGCAAAAGAAAGTATATAATTGCAATAACACATTAAAAACATATCCCTAGGTTTTTTTTTTTTTTTTTTTTTTTTAAGAGTAACAAATTTTAAAATAAATTTTTAAAAAATATTAGGAAGTTGAAAGCTAAATAACACTAATCTGCAACTTGATAATTTTAATTCAACTGTTACAAAGCATTAAAATAAAAATAAAATTAAAAGTGATTAAAATCTTCATAAAGATCAGAGTAACTGTAAAAATGAACACAGAATCGATTTTTTTCAGTGAGTTATTAGATTATTTGAAGATGAAATCTCACTAGTTTTATTTTAAAAACATTAAAACAAATCATGTTAAAAGTGGAAAACCTATAACTTAATCATGCCAGATAAAAACAAGATAAAAATACTCGTTTCTAACTTTTTTTATACACTTCTACTTAAAGAAAACTTGCATCTTGTTTAGCTCCGAGGAGGATGAAAAAAAAAGTTCAAGATATTTTAAATGACATAATAAACACAAGAAAGTTCAATTACGGCAAACAAAAATATTAACTTAATAAAATTAAATACAATTTTTATGAAATTAAATTTTAGGTTTTTTAATACAAACCTTTGTGTGAAAAAGCTTTTTTTCAGGAAAAAATAAAAGTTTGTTTATTTTTTTTTTAAATAAAAATGAAAATATGTTTTGAATGCTATAAAATTTTAAGAAATACATGGAGTTTCATAGAAAGAATGATTACTTTTTTTAAGTCCTAGTTTTGAAAAGAAGATTTATTTTTGTTTACGTAATAAGCTAAGTAAGCAAAAAGAATTTTTTCAATAACCAACACTAAAAAATGATTTTATGGATTAAAACTATTATAAAAACAAATGTGAAAATATTTTCAGTGAAAACTTTTTTGTAAGAAAAGTGTACGAAAAATTGTAATTTAACTGCCTCACCATGAGGACAATGTGACAAAAGATCAATTTTTTATGTGAAGAAAAAAAAAATAGAATTGGTAGGAATTCCTGCCAAAGGAAACAAATGCCTACCACTATCCTTAGCTGATCCTTTGGATTAAATGCTGATTGAAACGCCTTATATGAAATTTTATTTTTAATTTCTAATTAATGATTGAAAATTTGAATTTTAAAATAAAATTTTATATAAGATTCTAATTCTTTTCTTTCTAGTTTTTTTTCTTTTTCATAAATTTTGTCTTTCTAACATGTTTTTTTCTTTTTACATAAATTAAAATTAAAAAAAAAATTGTCTGAAAACAATGTTTAGAAAGAAATGAAAATAAAAAATTTTGAACTGAAACAGACTAGAACATGAATTCAAGAAGCGAGTTTTACATGTTTAAAATATTACATAATTGATTATAATCATTAAATTAATAATTTAAAATATAAATAATATCTTTCTGTTAATTAGTACCAGGAATGGCAAAATAAGTTAAAAAAAAGAAACAAGACAATGTTTAGAAAGAAATGAAAATAAAATTTTTATTACAATGAATCAAAAAAACTTTTGAACTTTTTTGAAAAATGATTCATTCTAATGAACTTTATGGAAAAAGTTCAACATGAAAACTTTCAGGAAAACAACTGAGAATTGCTCTTTATTGAACTTTTTTAGTCCCCCTGATAAACACCTAAGTAAAAAAAAAAAAATTACAAACTCATACTTAAAAAAAAAAAAAAAAAAAAGAAATTCCTCATGAATTTTCAAAAATTCAACCTAAAGCGTTTTAGTCTTACTAAGTTATGAATTTCAAAAAAAAAAAAAAAAAAAAAAAAAACATATTTCATTTTATATTTTTTTTTTGTGTTAATATTAGTTTTATGCCACCAACTGAATGGCAAAATAAAAAAAATTAAAACTGCAGAAAAAAAAAAAAAAAAAAAAAAAAATGCAAGAAATTCTACCTAAAAAAAAAAAAAAACATTTCAATTTGCATTTTTTTTGTCTCAAACAACTTTTACCAAAAAAAAAGTTTGTGTATGATGATTGTCTGTCAAAAGTTTGCATATTTAAGGAAGACCTATAATTTATAATTTAAAACAATGAATTCATAAAAAAAATTTTACTAGTTTTACTAATTTAATTTTTGTATGAATTATCTTTTTTATAAAATGATTCATTTAAAATAAAAATTTAAAAAATTAAATTTAGACACATAATCGATTAAAAAGAACTTTCGATTATTATTATTATTCATTTAAAACTTTCAGGAAAACAATCAGGAGACATTTTCTGCTTGCTAGTTATTGAACTTTTAGTTCATGCCTTGTGTTGGTCAGTCTTTTTTAAGATTTGATAAAACATAAGATACTTTTATCCTGAATTCTCTGGTCAGTTTTGACAGTTTTAAAGGATTCTCAAACTGCCATATTAGCATTGAAAAAAAAAAAAAAAAAAGTGTGATGCCCCATCCTCCTTACTGTCTGTCTTGTGTGGGTGAAAATTTTTTGATTTGATTGTTACCAATATGTTGTTAAATTTGTGATTTAGCCCGGCTGGGTATTGTGTTTTTAGACGTTGTATCAACCTCTAAAATTTTTCTAATGTTATCTGCTCTGAACTTTTCTATTCTCTCAACATAGTGAATCTCGTGTTTTCTACACTTTCTATCTGTTATGAATAACACTTCAAAAAAAAAAAAAAAAAAAAAACATATTTCAATTTGCATTATATTTTTTTTTTGTCTCAAAAAATCCTGTTGTTTTGTTCTCAGTTTCTTACGGATTACCTTGTCCCCTACCTTAGATTTTATGCCACTTTTTTAGGTCTGGTTTGAACTGATAAACACCTTCTCAGGTGTGGAAACATTGTTTGTTCCCTGAAAAAATTGATTCTCAAACATATCCTTCTGAGTCTAAGTGCTTGTGAATAAAAAAAAAAAAAAAAAATAATTGCCCTCATTTTAAATTTTCAAAATATTCAAACTTAATTGACACTTCAAAAAAAAAAAAAAAAATATATCATCGATTTCAATTTGCATTGATTGGATTTTTTGTCTCAAACACTACCTCTTATTTGATTTTCCATTGAAAAAGTATTCAATGTAAGGACATGCTCCATGAGTTTTATTTCCATTCCTGATGATGATTGGAATAATCCTGTCAAAAATAGCTTTCTCTGGTATTGTTTGTATGTGATTAATTTTGTTCATTTAAGTTGTGTCTTGGAAGATTTTACTTCCTTAGCTACATGTTTATAATCTTAAAACAGGGATCATAACATTCATCGAGATTGTTGCGTAGTTAGTGGGTTAATGTATTTTAAAATTTAGTTAGTCAGCCTGTGTTAATTCGCCATTTTATCTCATTACCTTTACTTCAGTCAATTTAATTTTTGTTTTGAATTATCCATTGTTTTTTTGTGGGGTGTAGGTATATATATATATATATATATATATATATATATATATATATATTTGTATTTCCACTATATGGGTCTTATAAGCATGGCTTCTTTTGGAAAATTTTGACCTAGGATTGATAGCCCTTTACAATATAAAGAGTGTTAGTTGAATAAAGATTTAGAATAAAAAAATTATTTCCCACTATATGCTCTTATAACTGTATTTGGAAAATTTTGACAGAATTGATAGCCCTTTACAATATAAAGGGTGTTAGTTGAATAAAGATTTAGAATAAAAAATTACTTACCACATACATTTTGAAATTGAATCTTTACAATATAAAGGGTGTTAGTTGAATAAAGATTTAGAATAAAAAATTACTTACCACATACATGAAATTGAATCTTGCGTGACTAAGACGGAGGTGCTTCAGTAGGCTATATAACTGCATGCAGTTGAGAGAGCACCATGGACAGTGAAGGTCATCACGAGCTTCTGTCTGTTGCCGGGTATTGTTGTTGTAATAAAATTGGTAATAAATTCGCACTTTCTTTTTTGGGGTACCCAACTGGTTGTTTGTATCCTTTGATTTGACAGGTGAAACTCGCTTTGTCCCTGAGAGAGAGAGAGAGAGAGACAGACAGAAATACATTAGTAAACAAAAAAAAAAAAAACAAAACAAAAAAAACAAACTTTATTTTAACATTTAACACTGCATTATTTATAAATATTACTTCCTCTTTTTACTGTATATGCAGTACCTGCAAAATATAGTGTTTTCTATATTAGTTCTATATATTGAAAATTGCTAGTAGCATGGCTCTCAATTTCATTCAAGATTGTTTTAGGTGTTGCCATAGAAGAATATGACTACACAACCAATTGAAATTCAACTTGCATTGGTAATACTAACATTGGTGAAAATAGTTACCTACAAAGTGCTAAATGTTAAAATAATAAGCAGATAACTTGATGAATTCATTACTGAAGAAATTCAAACAATATTTGTAGGTAGGATAATTATTTGGTAGAGCAGACTTGACACTACGCCACAAAATTTTTGTCAAGAAATGTCTTGTTGATAGATTTGGCATTTTTTTTTTTTTTTTGGTATTTACCAACAATTCAACACCAGCGTGTAAAAGGCATGAAGGATTATATCTTTGTCTGAATACTGATTTTACAAGGGTAAATCTGAAAGAAAAGATAATTCCCATGAATTGGCCAAAAACACTTGAGGCAATAATCAATAGAGTCAGTTTTTGCTCTGCCTTAGTTCTTCTAAAAAGAAAACTAAGATCATTAGACAAACTAAATAGAAAAAGCATATCAGATGTCCTTATCTGTTACATTCAAAGTCTGTGTGTGTGTGTGTGTGTATATATATATATATATATATATACAGACAGAGAGAGAGAATTAATACAAGTAAAAATTGTTACCAAGCTGATAGATGTTACCCTCAGCATCCTGACTTCAGACTTTCATAGAGAGACCCTCTGGTAATCACTCCGACCACTCGTCAGGGGATATCAGCAACTGACTGTTTATATTTCTCAATTTTTCTTTTTATATGCACTTTTCATTGATGCAAGTTTTTTTTTTTTTAATGTATGTAATGTAATGACTGGCCACTCATATCCAAGTAGGCTAGTCTGCTAGAGCAGCTAGCCAATCACTATTGCACACACCTGCGCAGGCACATTTATGTTTGTTTAATACCTACAGAGCCAATCTGTGGTTTATACTCCAACTATGATGAGTAGACCAAAGTTACAGTTTCTGGGAGAGAGCACATTATTTGGCATGATCAAGAGTCTGAACAAGGCCAGCATGCTCAAACCCTCAGTCACAATTACTTGTGACTTTGTGCTAGCTCAACCATCGGTGGCTCCCAAGCCTGTAATATGGTTTTTCTGGTACTTTCCAAAGGTGCCACATGCATAGAGTTTTAAGGTGTGTTATATTTATGGGTAAAGTGCTAAATATCAGAGAGCATATGTAAATATAAAGTGGACATGGTGGTCAACACCAAGTAGCAACAATCCTCAGGTCATGTGTGTTGGGTTTTGGCACAATTATTTAACTATGCTGGTCAGAAGTGCATTATGGGTAGTAAATTCTATTGTATTATCCAAACAATTATTAGGTGAGCAGTAACAGTTATCTGTATATATTTCTGAGATGAGGTATTAGGTACACTATTTACATTATTCGGACCATTGTCCTCATCTTTGCCGCCATATTTATTACGTTTCGGCCATTGTACACTTCGGCCTTCTTCAGTCTACCCCAGTGTGCAAAATAAAGGGTTTAGTTCAACATTCCAACGACCTGAAGAAGGCCGGAGAGTACAACAGCCGAAACGTAATAAATATGGCGGCAAAGATGAGGACAATAGTCCGAATAATGTAAATAGAGTAACAGTTATGTTTCAAATTATTCTGGCAGGGTTATGGAATAGAAATAATTGTGGATCTGAATGCAGTTATTTATTAACATTTTACTCATTTATAAATGTGTATGGTGGGCTGAAAAGTTTATAGGCTGTCTATAAAGGAATGATGCTAGAGCTGTGAAATTTTGCATGCATTGATTTCAACTCTTCTTATCAATAACTGCATTGTTTCTTTCCAGATACGAGGTTGGGCTGAAAAGTTCATAGGCTGACTATGAAGGAATGATGCTAGAGCAGTGAAATCTTGCATGCATTTATTTCAACTATTCTTATTAATAACTGCATTGTTTCTTTCCATGTTTGAGGGTGGGCTGAAAATTTCATAAGCTGACTATGAAGGAATGATGCTAGAGCTGTAAAATTTTTCATGCATTTATTTCAACTATTCTTAATAATTGCATTGTTTATTTCCATGTTTGAGGGTGGGCTGAAAAGTTCATGGGCTGACTATGAAGAAATGAGGCTAGAGCAGTGAAATCTTGCATGTGTTCATTTCAATTATTCTTATTAATAACTGCATTGTTTCTGTCCAGGTAAACTGACATCCGACTGTTCAAAGACTTGAAATGGAACTAGTAATGGCTTCTCTTGAAAATGGACAAAATTTGGCATCATAGTTTTATAAAGTACCTGCACTAAAAGGGTTTAACCCCCAAGGACAGTCATGCTGACATGGTTGCTACATTAGGGGACAATGTTCCAGCTTTATCAACAGTGCAAAAGTGGGCAGCTGAATTTAGGAAAGGGAAGTGGGAGACTATATGAAGTCCCATGGTCTGGACGATCTGAAACTGCTACCACTGAGCAAAACATTGATAGTGTTCACCACTTGGTGATGGATGACAGATAATTGGCTATAAACTCATAGTTAATGCTATTAGCATATCACATGAGAGAGCTGAGAATATTCTGCACAATGAACTTGGCATGGCCAAGGTTTCTGCTCAGTGGTTACCACCTTTTCTGACATCTGATAAACACCGTTTTCCTTGAACATTTCCTAACCCAGGATCACTTTGAGGCAGAGACAAAGAGACAATCCATGCAGTGGAAACGACCCTCACCTGCTCCAAAAAAGGCCAAAGTTGCTTCATCTGCAAGGAAGGTGATGGCCTCAGTTTTTTTGGTGATGCAAAAGGCATTGTGTTTACTATCTTCAAAAGGGCCACACCATCAATAGAGAGTACTTTGCCAACTTGCTGAGACAATTACAAAAGGCTATCAAGACCAAATGCTCAGGAAAACTGACAAAAGGGGTCTTGTTGCACCAGGACAATGTTCCAGCAGACAAGTGCTTAGTTTCAATGATTGTTGTGTGCGACTGGCTTTGAATTGGTCGATCACCCTCCTTATTTCTCTTGATTTGACTATCATCTGTTCCTCAACATGAAAAAAAACGGTTGGGAACCAGTATTGCAGTGATGATGACGTTATATCTGCTGTTGATGACTTTATTGACCAACAGGATGAACAGTCTTCTTTTGACATTCAGATGTCAGTTTACCTGGAAAGAAACAATGTAGTTATATTAATAACTACACTGAAGAATTGAATTAATGTATGCAAGATGTCACAGCTCTAGCATCACTCCTTCATAGTCAACCTATGAACTTTTCAGCCCACCCTTTTACTTAATTATTTGTTGTTGTTGTTTATTATTATGACATTTACTTGTGTTTATGTGTTCATTTGTAGTTTTAATTTGCATATGATATAATTTGTTTGTTTATTTAAATGTTTTATTTTGTTTAATTCTTTTTTATTTGTTTAATTTAAAATGTTGGCATTGCATAAAGTATATTGCATTATCTGCATTGTGCATATATTTGCATTTTTCATGGTGGTATTCTGCAAGGTATTCATTTTGATTATTAAGTAACGTAGTAAAAATTTGCTTTCTTGTCTGCATTTTAAGAGTTCCGATCATTTATTTAGTAAATTGTGTTGGTCTGGGAAAATGATAACTATTTTCTCCTCCAGGTTTAGTTTTTTTGATTTATTGTTGTAAACTGATACTATTTTCCACATTTTTGTTGTAATTTGGTTTTTGTTTTTAATTGCTCATGTTTTGAGAGCATTGTGCTGTTTATGTATTTACTATTTGTAAAGAATGTTTTGTGTGCATAATTTGTTTTCAGAGTTCTTCAGTTAATCCTATGTATATTTTTTCTTTGTTATCTGCTGATTTTACAGAAGCTAGGTATATTATATTATTTTGCGAGCAATTGTCATTTAAGGGACAACTGTTCTTTTCTCTGCAGTTACATGCGTGTTTGGTTTGTTGGTTATTTTTCTGTTTTTTATTATTTGTGTCAGGTTCTCGGTGAAACTGTAGCTTATTTTTACTATATTTCTATTGAATATCTTTTGGAGAATGCTTGATGTGGGGGGTGCTTATGTAGGTGTGTAATGATTATTTTTCTTATGTTTATTTTATGTATTTGTTGTACAGGGGATTGAACAAGATGTTTCTTTTCTTGTTGACTTTTTTGTACTGTGTATGTGACTGTTACTGAAAATCCACTATCTTTTAAGGCTATTTCATAAGCATTTTTGGTTTTGTTGAAGATGGTTTCATTGGAAGAATTGTCAGGTAACCTGTGGTTAACTGATTGTGGGAGCTACTTGGTTACTGTTGGCAAGTGGCTGGAAGATGCATGTATATGTCATTGGGTTTCCTATATAATTGATATATCGAGTGTGACATCTAGGAATGGCAAACTACTGATCAGATGACCATGTTAGCATGGAATTCTTACAGTAATAGAATTCCTTTAAGTTTGGAATATAAAGCCAAAACGATACAAAGATATGGACATTTGTGCATATATGGCCAAATCTGAAAGCATAGGGAGAGAGATGAATAAGAGTTAGAAGTCATGCATAATTTAAGCATTACCACGCTATTTTATTTCTAGAGTTGTCTCCCCTGCCACTGCATCTTTTTAAGGATTCAAAAACCTGAACACCTACCGTTTTAAAATTGTTATAACTTTCTTTGTATTGTGCATAAAGATTTTAATTTTTGTACACTAATAAAAGAATGAAATAGTAATATTTTGATGTAATGCATTACGTTTTGAATGTATGTTTTGATGTTGAAAACAAAAAATTGAAATGCAAAATAAAAAACAAATACATTAAAAAATACATAAATAATTCAACATACTTTAACTTTTATTATGCCTTGTGAAGTTCTGGGGGTGCAATAAGAAGCAAAACCACTAAAAAGGTTTTCATTTCATAAAAAAGTGACATGTTTCCTCGTGTTTTCATACAAGAAGACACCAGCATTTGTTTGACTTTTCTTTCACCTGACTCATGATTATTTGTCTCGTTGATGAATAAAGTTATTATTTTGTCATTTATAAATAGACAAAATAATTCACCTCCAGAAAGGCTATCAGATATATCGATGATTGTCAGGAGCATCCATAAAATTACTCAGGCATGGATGATAGTAGCCGCTAGTGGTCATTGTTGCTTTCCTCCACGTCACTAGAGTGTTTATCATCTCTGACCACTTTACCGTCAATATCCACTTTTTGTTGTAATTTGGTTTTTGTTTCTAATTGCTCATGTTTTGAGAGCATTGTGCTGTTTTTGGCCTGCAAAATCATCATCAGAGTCTTAATCAAAAAAAAAAAAAAACTCCTGAATAAAGGCTTTGTTGGGTATTGACACTGCAATTTTTGTTTACATAAAAAATTGCAAAAAAATTAACATGGGTTTAATTGATGTTACACCTCATGTAGAGTCTAGAAGAATTCAAAATGGTGTTTAAAAACAGAAGTTTAGCCTTGTTCCAAAGCAGTAGTAGGCGATTTCCAGCTTAAAATACCAGAGATAACAGTTGACAAGTGTTTATTTATAACAACTGTTTCAGGTGAAAGAAGTCGCTGATAGTAGTAAGGGAGAGAATTCTATGGCGACTATTGTCACTTGCAGTGTGGTAAAGGTTAAAATACATATTACTATGTATTGTGAAAAAGAAAAAGGAGGTGGTAACATAACAATTCCTGTCCCAGAATTCTTAGCTAAATGCTGGCCAAAAGATCCCATGGGCATGGATTTTCTGACAGTGAATTGTCTTTAAGCTTTTGATATAAAGCCAAAAAGATATGGAGACAGTCATTTGAAAAGTCAACATGCCTCCAAAACACAGATTCCTTCCTAGCAGGATCAGCATGCATTCTCTTGATCATTTCCACAACGCTTTCTCTTAGAAACAACACTACAACTAATGTACCCTCATGTAACAAAGGGAGATAAGAAAAAGAAATTTTTCGTTGTTGATGCAGTCTAATATAGAATGATGTCTGAAGAATAAAATCTAAAGACAGTTCAAAATGAAGCTTTTTTTGGAATTAAGAAACTATCATATAGTATAGTGAAAGTTTTTATGATCAGGCAGGGATTATGGGTAAGTTTTTTTTTTTTTTTTTTTTTTTTTTAAGTGGTTAAAAAATCATACCAAAAAATTCAGGAGTCACACTATACATAAAATCAACTTATACATGAGTATATATAGCGAAGGCACGGCGGAGTAGTGGATAGTGGCTCGGATTGAGGAATTGGAGAGCTGAGTTCAGATTCCAGTCAAATCCATTACATTCACTTACATGTTAACACCTTTGGGAAAGGTATGAATCCTCTCCCCCAGCTATGGGTAAAATAGCAGGACAGAGTTCTATAGCCTTGGATGGCAACTGGTCTACTGCAGAAAGAAATGACAACCTACAGTAGGGAAAAAAAAATCTGCCTAGTCAGTCATATCATAAGATACGTGATCACTGGAGATGACCGTGTTCTTGCTAGTCCATCATCTGAGGCGACCGTGTTCTTGCTAGTCTGTCATCTGAGGCGATCACGTTCTTGCTAGTCCGTCATCCGAGGTGACCCAGTTTGTTAGTCTGTCATCTGAGACAACAAAAATAGTAGTGGAGATGTTCCCAGTGTCACCCCCAAACAAAGCCAGGGGAATTGATAAAGGAATAACAAACTGTTTAATGAAACACGTCTTGCGTGTTATTTCAAGTTGGCTGTATTTGTGAGTTTACTCCCAGAGTGTCATTTCGCCTTTAGTTTCTTTGTTCAACGTACACTGGGCCTTTGCCAGTTCTGTTCACACCAATACCAATAGGAATTGAACTACGGCTTTCATTTTACACTGACATGCAATAGAAAAGTTGTATTGAATAAAGCGCTAAGTCTGCTGCTAGGACAATTTTCCATGCCAAAATCTATCTTATATACTTATAAGTCTATTATTCATCCATGCATTGAATATTGAAGTCACATCTGGTTTGGTTCTTCTGCCATGTGTTCAGAGATCATTGATAAAATACAAAGAATCTGCAATGTTATTAGTCCTGACCTGGCATCTTGGCTTCAATTACTTCCCACTCTCATAATGTAGCTTCCCTGTTCCTTTTCTATAAATTTTTCATGGTAATTATTCTGATGAGCTTATTTAAGCATACTATTAGATTGGCAGTGCAGTCTCGTTTTACAGTTGAAATGGCAATATGTAACCATAAATTCATTGTTAATAGCTTCTTGCTTTAAAGTAAACTTTTAATCTTCAAAAATTTAAATGCAATGTCAAGCATTATCTTTTCTGCTTAATGCCTGTTCTTTTATTGTTCTTTCACCATAACAATGTTTACTTTTACTATTATCCTCCTCCTCTCAGTAACCCCTTGCATTTTAGTGACTCTTGCATTGCTCAAGGTGAAATGATTAAAAAAAGTTTGAAAGTGCATATGTTTAAGAGTACAAATGTATAATTGTGTGCACATGTGTAACCATGTGTAATTGTGTGCACATGTGTAACCATGTGTAATTGTGTGCACATGTGTAACCATGTGTAATTGTGTGCACATGTGTAACCATGTGTAATTGTGTGCACATGTGTAACCATGTGTAATTGTGTGCACATGTGTAACCATGTGTAATTGTGTGCACATGTGTAACCATGTGTAATTGTGTGCACATGTGTAACCATGTGTAATTGTGTGCACATGTGTAACCATGTGTAATTGTGTGCACATGTGTAACCATGTGTAATTGTGTGCACATGTGTAACCATGTGTAATTGTGTGCACATGTGTAACCATGTGTAATTGTGTGCACATGTGTAACCATGTGTAATTGTGTGCACATGTATGAAAACATGCATGTGTGTGCATGCACATTTTTCTAAACATACTCGTGTATGTGTGTGTGTATATCCATACGTCTACTGCTTACCTGAGTCTTCATTATGAATCACATGATTAGGATGATGATGATGGTGGTTATAGGTGTGCAATTCCTGCAAGGGAGTTGTGTTGTCCAAAGACGGATCGTTCACCTTTCCATTCTGACTATTGGACCCACCTAGACAACTACTGGTCTGCTCAGTCCAGCTCAAAGTAAACTTCAAAGTTGGACACTTACTGAATACCTCAAATGGACCGATGGCCTGAAAATGGAAAACACTGATTGTTAATTTTAGATATATTTAAACAGAAATCAACACATTCCAATATTGCTTACTTTATCAACTATCCCGGCAATACTTCAATTCTGTCTATACCAAAGCCTGAAATCGTCACATCTCAATAGTGATTATTGCAATTGCCTTCTTCACAAAAAAAAAATATGAATCACAAATTGAGAAAATTTTTAAAATAAAATTTCATCTACTTCTCACCAAAATAGGTTGTTGATTTGTTACTGACTTTTACAAATATTACTGTCAACAGATTTAAAAAAAAAACAAAAAAAAAAAAAAACTCTTAAATGTTAAATGGGTACACTTGGGTCTTTAGTAATTGTAATCAGTAACCCTCCCTGCTTATTAATTTTAAAAATTAAATCTGTGTCTCACCCAATTTCTTTGCGTAAAAAAAAAAAAAAAAAAAAAAATCTAAGTAAATTATTTAAAAATGCAAAATTAATTTGTTTCTGGTTATAAAACTTTATTATAACAAATCAAATTTATATTTGCATTGTGTAATGTACCCCACTTTCATTTTTATTTTAGAATTATTTTAAAAGATATAAGTGAGAAAAGAACATTTGGAGAGCTTAACAAGTGTGAAACTTTGACATTATTCATACCTTTTCACAATATCACATCATGGCTCTACACAACAGTTCATGAAGAAAGGAATAACAAATAAAAGATATTAGAAATGTGATTTGTAAGGTTTATATTTGGGATAAAAAAAAAACTTTGATAGAACATTAACTCGTTAAATCATTTGCTGCATGTTAGGATACCATTTCTTCATTTATATAAATTATGTTCTAGACTAATCCTACCTCACCATCAGTCTCCCCACTATTTTACTTATTAGTCTTTGAAAAACTTCATGCCATTCTAAAACTAATATTTGTTTAACTCAGATTAATTAAACTTTAAATCAGTTAATTTTACTCAAAGTTTCAGAAAGATATATTTTACCTTTGAAAGATTTTGTTTTACGAAAGAGAATTATGTTGTATCGACAAATTTGTCAATATGAATGATTTTACTGATTAAAAAAAAAAAAGAAAAAAAGTTGCAATCAATTTAAATTTGATTTGAAATACAGCAAAGTATTTTACTTATTGGAAATATTAGGTTTAATCTATTAGCTTGAAATTAAAACAAAAGCTTCAAGAAAGATTTTTCACTTTTAAAAATTAATTTTAAACCTTAAGTATCAGATTTTCTGTGGTGATACATGAATAAAGACAAAAGGAAAACTTATCTTAGCTGACATGTTTCATCCTCTGAGGGACTTTATCAAAGCAAATGTGAGAATTTTATTTTGTAACAAGTATCTATATACAAGAGCAAAAATGTTATTGGTTTTAGGTATACAATCGCTAATAAACATCATCAGGTCAACTGAAAAGTCTGGCAAGTTATAGAGGACATGAAGTGTGACCTCCATAACAAAACTGCCCAAATATATATTGTTCTTTACAGATATACTCTCTCAAATTTTTACACACATACATATGTAAGTATGTGTATGTAATAAAGTAATTGTTAAAGGGAAAGTGTCAAGAAGCAAGCCTTTAAAAGAAAACATGAAGAAAGAAAGCAAAATCTATAGTGTCCAATGCTTCAAGAAATAGAAATGAAGCTAAGGCAGTTAGAATAACAAATAGAAAGTACTCTTGGACTCTGAACTGAAATGATTACTTTTGAGTTTCACTCAAAGATCTTTAGACATTATAATGTTGCTGTGTGTACATTAAAATCTTTTATATTTATGAGAAAGATTGTTCAATATAGTAGGTTGATTGCGCGTGTGTGTGTGTGTGTGTATATATATATATATATATAAATAAACAGTCTTGATATGGGAATTGACACTGCATATTGACCCATCTCAAGTGATCTTCAAACAAGATTCTAATGTTCACACACTATAGATGACATGAAAAATTTGTCCAAAAACAATCCACCCATTTGTAGCCACAAACGGCTGAACAAAGTCAAGCCGGCCCTAAATCACATCATCAGATTGAGAATTGTCCTTTTTTCTTTTGTTTTTTTTTAAATTCCCTGAAGATAAAGTCTTTGAAATCTAGGGTTCATAGAGCAACCCCCTTGAGCAAAAGGGAATAAAATAAAGAAATAAATGAAAAAGAGGGATCAAGTGCTACTTTGTTGGAAACCCTATATAAGTAGAGTCGGGGGAGATGGGGGATGGGAGGGGGGGGGAGAGATGGGGGGGGAGAGATGGGGGAGGGGGAGAGATGGGGAGAAAGGAACCATCTGTTCAACTAGTCAGGTCAGTAGCAGTCACTCGGCTGACGTAAGAAAAACTGGTGAAGAGATCTATGTGCACCCTACATACTAACAGAGAGAATACTATGTTCAACTCTGAACCTCATTGAAATAAACACCTAATTATTGGGAATTGTTTTCATAAAAGTTAATGAAGGGTCCCGTTTGCTATATAAATCTTATTGTAATTTATTCTTTATATGACAGCCAAAACAAAATATGCTCATTTTTTTTCATTTCTTACTCTTGATTTCATCTTCAAGAATGTTGGAAACCCTATATTAAGTAGAGTCCCTGATTTGGGCTAGACAAAGAGAGAGGTCACCAAATCTCATTGAAATAAACACCAAATTATTGGGAATTGGATTTGTGTCTTCATTTCTTGCAGTTGATTTCATCTTCAAGAATCAACTGCAAGTTTATTCCAATCTTTGCACATACCTACACTAGCTAACAAGAAACAACTTGGGAGATTGATTTGTTCATTTTTTTTCTTTTTTCTAAATTTACCTCAAGCAAGGTGATAATGCTACTAAGATGCAAGAGGCTACTGGGAGTAAAAGAGAATGAAAAGATTTTAGAAGTAGCCAAAAACTCAATCTTAAACAGGAAACAAGGGATAAAATTCTACTACTGCTCAAAAAACCAGCAGTGTGAACCAGATGATGGGTACCCCCAACTCCTGTTGTATGTTCACACATTAATATTAAGGGTGGAGGACACTTTTCATCACACACACAATATACATTTACCTTGCCGTCTACAACTGTTTCCCAAGTAGCTGTGGTCTTCTTTGGGGAAATCTTGGACCCAAGGTCCTGTAAGGAGAGTTCGTAGTCCCCGTCTGTCATTAGGCAGTGTTTGTGCTTATCATAAATGACAAGTTCGGATCCGTACAAAACTATATCCTCTTCAAACGGAGACATCTTTCCATTTTTTCTTCGTTTGTGTGGAGGTTCTTCTGGAATTTGAAAAAAAAATTTTAAATTTTGTTGTAACCTAGGGAAGGTTACTGAATAGAATAATCAAAAAGTTTGGTAATGGACGATAATACTTAGGACAAGAACAACACACATGAGATTTGCCAGCGGCGTGTAGAAGTAATCAACTTCGAGAAGCAAGTCAGTGAATGCCACAATGAATCTCCAACTGCAGACCAACATACAGTAATTACTACTGTATTTATGTGAATAGGGGCATACCCATTATCATCCGTAGGTATGCTACAGCAAATTTAAATTACTGTAGAAATATTTATTATTACTCAGCATTTTTGTTCGATTAACCACCTCCTCAAGCACAGCAATTTAACATTCCCAACAAATAACTACCTCTCCGGAGAGTTATATCCATCCCAACCAAGCAAGGCAATAAAGCAATAAAGGGGTTGCTGAGAGTGAAAGAATCTAACAAAAAAAAAAAAAAAAAAAAAAAAAAAAAAGAGGAGATAGGACAATAAAAGAACAGTAACAAAAGATAATTGACAATGCATTCAATTTTTTGAAGAAGATCATAACTGACAGGAGTACAAGAAACTATTAGCATAGAAATTATAGTTACATACAGCAATTTTAACAGTACAATGGTGAGACATTATTGCCAATCTAGTACTGCACTAAAATTTGTAAAATCCAGGTACCAAAGAGGAAAGTGCATCAGAACAATTTCCATGAAAACTTTTATAGAAAAGGCAGAGAGAAGCTATGATGGTGGGAGGTGATTGAAACCGAGATGCCAGGTCAGGACCAATAATATTGCCAATTCTTCTATGGATACTGTCAAGAATCTCTAGATACAGTGTGTTGCAGAAATACCTTCCACAAAACTTAGTTTTACCATTATCTGGGCAGTATTCCTGCTGCACCCTGTACATAACAAAAGCATCAGACCAGATGTGACAGCAATATCAAATGCACAAGTTGCTGGCAAGAAAAATTGCCTAGAACAACACAGGGAACCAACTCTCCTGGCAGCACCCTTAGCAAATCAATATAACCATTCCACTCATGTTAGTGGATAACATGAGACGGAGAAGGCGTAATGAGCAACTCTCCTGGAGGCTAGCATCAGCCATGCTGACAGAAGACAAAAAAAATTTCTCTTAGATGATTAAAGGAGAGCAGTTTCAGTTTGGAGGAATTAAAATTAACAAGCTATTTCTTACCCCAGTTAACAACAGATTGAACGTCATTATCAAAATCAGCTGCCAAACTGATTATATCGAACCGATCAGACTATTAAAACAGGAGTAAATAGTTGTGTCATCAGCATAGATACCAAGTTGTACTGATGTCATAAGGAACAAAATGTCCAATAATAGAACCCGGGGACACTCACATTAATGGGAAATAAGCTAGAAGAGTGTTTGTTTGGGACAATTTTAATTTTCCAATTTGCTAAGAGGATAAATCAAAAAGGTTCACCATTCTTGTCTAAAGCTTGACTTTCAGTAATAATCAGTAACACATTGTCAGCTGACCTAGAGAAGTGAAAACCATATTGTTTTGTACAGAATAAAATTGTATTATCATCATCCTTTGCCCTCCCTATATACAGTCACAGCCAAATTATTCTATGTGGTGCTACTGTGGTTTCAGTTGCAAGTAGGTTCTAAGTTAGGATTGGAGTCATGCGTAACCAGTTTTGAATTCAGAATTGTCTTTCTTGTAGACTGGTTGCCAACTAAATCTAGTGAGCTGTCCAGAAGAAAATGGTGACATACTCTGAAGGCCAAAATGCTTTCATGTTGCATGATTCTTTTGTAGAAAAATAAAAGAAAGAAAAGTGCTTCACCACTGAATGAGGTCAGCCAGCTTTTGTAAATGAGCTTCTGCCAATCAATCGTGGTTCAAGTGTTACTGAGTGGAATGGATTGAATAGAAAAATATGCTAATCCATTTCTATGCTCCACCAATCAAAAACCTTGATAAGGGTCCACCAAACTGTTATAAAAGCAAGTGACTTGTCCTACGGAGAGAAACAGGATGAGGATGCTGTATGCATGTGTGTATAAAGATTGATCCTGTGAGCTTTTATTATACATGTTTGTATGTAAGGGAGACCTGCAAGGTGAGATGCTTTATCAATTCAGAGTTGATTAGAGCATCAAGTACTTTGCCAAAAAGAGTACTTAGCCTTCACAACAAATAATTACCTTTCTGGGCACAGCTACTTAACATTCACAATAATTAATCTAAGTACATTAATTAAAAAAAAAAAAAAAAAAAAAAAAATCGACAAAAATTAAAATTTAAAAAGCAAAAATAAAATTTGGAAATTAATAAAAATAAAAAAATCAATATACACACCTGGCCCATCCAAAATATCTCCATTGCATAGACCATTAGATAGGTAACGCTTCACTGGGCAAGGAACTCGCAACAGCAGAACGTATGATTTGACGGCATGACCATTGTTGTGATGAAAGTGTTCATGGGATATTGATAAAGACCCAGACAAGTTGGCAGTCAGTCTCATGGAGGCGTCAGATGTGTGTGGATTTAGAGGCACTTCGACTTTGCCTAGTTTGGTTTGCATAATTGGGGATGATACATCCTGTTAGAGAAATTTGGAGAGTGAAAAAGAAATAGTGTCATTTTCAGAAATGATTCAAATTAATTCACTTTGGTAAAAAACGAAGACATTATTTTGTAATTGTAAAAGAAATTTACTAATATTAAATACACTTGGAAATCTTACTTTCTTACAAACCAATACACATTGGTATTTCAGGATGTGCATATTTTGCTATCTTACAGACCAATATGTCCCCGTTTATAACTCAAATGAACTTGATATAGAGTTTAAGTCAGGCATGGGTAACGTTTTTTGAGCAGTCGGCTGCACTAAAAAAAATTGTAATTTTTTGTTGAAAGTGTTTCAGTCATTTTCACAACAGAAGAACATAGGTGTAAGCATCTGACTTAAAAATTGAGAAGAGTTTTTTTTTTTTTTTTCTTTCTTATTTCTTTGGAGAAAAGATTTTTTTCTAAAAAAAAAAAAAAAAAAAAAAAAAATTAAATTCTTGGTATAATATCACTGATGACAATATGATTAACACACCAACTGTGAGTAATTTACTTTTGATTTATTCATTTTAAGAAATAAAAAACATGTTTCTTCTCCAGAAGAATAGTATTACATTTCCTGTTTTTAAAGCAGAAAAATGTTTACATGTATGATCTTCCATAGTGATAATCACCAATGGTTTAAAATGCTGCAAACATTACCTTAAGGTTACAAAATTCAAGATGCATTGTACTTTATCATTGTTTGTATATGTGGTGATGTATGAGAATGTGTGTGTGAACAAGTGAGAATGAAATGAAAAATTATTTTAATAAATATTATTTTTCTCATGTAATTATGCATCCCACACAAATTGGCCACAGTGTGCCCATGAATTGTCTAATTACTAACAAGAAAAGTTATAGTTGCACAATAGGCACAGTGATCAGAAAAGTTTTGATTTCTTTTTTCATATTACACACTCTTAGATTATAAAGATCTAAAAAAATTATTTTTTTCTTCCCCATTTTAGTTAAATTTCTTAAAAGTTAATAGCAGGGTTCAGTCTGGAAGGCAAAAGAACTATGACACGATTTCTTAAAATGCAAAAACATATTTTTAAATATTCTAACTAGGAGTTCTTATTCCATATATTACCATCAATTAAGTAATTCAGATTATGAATTTGAAAAAAAAAATTTTTTTTTTTTTTTACATTTTAAGAAATATCATGAACATATTTGTTTTGGCTTTGGAGGGGGTGTTCTACAATGAATTTTTATAGCAAATTAAACCATCTTTCTGATTTTTATAAAAAAAAAAAAAAAAAAAAAAAAAAAATTACTATAGATTAAGCTCTCCAGATCAGTTATAATTTCTTTTTTTTTTTTTTTTTACATTTTAAAAAATGTCATATGAGCAAATTTTGTTTTGGCTATCATATAAATAATAATTTACAATGAGATTTATATAGCAAAGTGGACCCTGGGGGAGGGGCAGGACTAGGATTAATCTAAAACAGAGCAAGGTGTGTCCTGCCTAATCTATAGTAATTTGAAAAAAAAAATCATTAAAAGATTATTCCTTTTCATATTGCCACAGAAAAAATCTAATTTATACTTATATTGGGAAAATAATTGGAGTTGAAAATTTTTTATATCTATTATTCTAACAATAGAAATATATCTAACTCTGTTAGCTCTGTGGGACATTGTCACAGCATTAGTACAGTTCTAGAAAAAGGTTTTAACCAAGATAGAAGTTTGTTCACAAAACAAAACTTCTGTTACCTGCTCTTCAGACATTTAAGAATCATACTTATTATAAAACCCAGGTTTTGTGTGTGTGTATATGTCTGTTCGTTTATATATTGAATCGGATTTCCTACATTTTTCAACCAATTTCAACAAAACTTCACAGGACTACGTAAAAATTACCTTACAGTGGTTCTGACAGCGCCAAAAATTGGAAAAACAATTGTTTTTGCACGAAATCAATTTGAAAACACAATTAAGAGGCATCGCTTTTGCAGAATGAAAGGGGGACAACTCATATCGAGTTATACTTATTATAAAACCCAGGTTGTGTGTGTGCGTTCCTTTATATATGGGATCGGATTTGCTACATTTTTCAACCGATTTCAACAAAACTTCACTTTTTTTTTGGCAGGTAGTGTTTCTTATTGTCTTGCACACTTTTTTTCTTTATTTTTACATTCAGAATGCTTTAAAAATTTAATTTACAAGACAATTGTTTATAATAAAATTCTATTCAATCGGTAGACTCATAACGATTGAAAACAATGTTTTTGTTTGAGTTTGACCAATTCGTAAAAAAAACTAATTAAGACATGCATGTGTCAACCTTAAACAATAATCTTTGTCAATTTTATTTTTCAGTCTTTATGATGGTCGATACTTGATCTATCTTACTGTTACATCCCCGGGCAACGCCAGGCTCTATTGCTAGTATGTGATAAAAATTTGCTCAAACTGATCTGCTGATGTCATGAAAATAAGTAATTTTTAGGATGTTATAGAATAGAATAAATTTTCAAACCATATTACCAACATTCCTCTTACATGATTGAATATGGTTACTGCATAGAAATAATCTATTGGGTCATAAATGACTAGAAAACTAATTTGGATGCTGTATCCGACATACTTGAATGAGAAGCTCTCAAAATTGACATCTTTTGTATTTGGGCATTTCAAACATTTTCAGGTGCTTATAAAAATAAAAATACATAAGACTGTGTAATGAAGGTTGTCTATACCAAATTCTCCTCCAGTTCCTTTCTCACGAATGCAGGTGTTCCCCAAGGCTCTATCCTGGGCTTTACACTGTTCCTGATCTTCATCAACCATCTTCCCAATGTCATCATTTCCCAAGTAGGCACCTTTGCAGACGACACTAATATTTACTCCTTCATCAATAGCAGATCCAGTATCACTGACAAAACTAACCTGACCATTGGTCTCAAAAAAGACCTCCAATCCAAGAAATGCCTCAAAAACTTCAATGCCTCAAAAACAAAACTTCTTTTACCCACCACAGACAACCCTCCCTGCCTTCCATTAGAATAGATGATGCTCACCTCCACGAGAGCACCTCTCTATGACTGCTTGGTCTCACACTGTCCACTGGCCTGAGATGGAACAAATACATTGAGTCAATAGCTTCATCTACTGCAAGGAAAGTTGATTCTCTGTGTCACGCCAGGAAGTTTTTCTCGCTCGAGTCCATCCTTCAAATCTACAAATCAACCATTCGCTCTTGCATGGAATACTGTTGCCATATATGGTCTGGAGCCCCCGCTGTTCATCTTAAGGTCCTCAACAAAATCCAGAGACGGATATGCAATGTGATTGGCCCTGATCTGGCATCTCATTTACAGCTGATCTCTTACAGGCGTGCTGTTGCAGCCCTGTCTTTTCTACAAATACTTTCATGGTAACTGCTCAAATAGTTCCCAAACTGCATGAATTTAAATGTGCTACTAGGTTGGGATCTCAGCCCCACCCATTCACTGTTGAAACAGTTAAATGTAGCAGTCTCTTCTACTCCAATAGCTTCATGTCTCACACTTCCCATCTGTGGAACTCCCTTCCTCTTATTTGCTTCCCTGATAGCTATATCTCCAAATATTCAAATGCAATATCAATTGACATCTCCAAATGCCTTGATCTATTCCCTGTTCTTTTCTTCATCCTTTCCTCTATCATGCGTCTTTACTCTTGCACCCACTCTGTAACCCCTTGCATGTTAGTGGCACTCTTGCCTTACTTGGAGTGAAATGCTTATTAATAAAAAAAAATAAAATAAAATAAAAAGGCACACCTAAGCTATTTATATTTTACTAATTTACAGTAAATATTAACTATTGTCAGCAAGTTTCAAATCTATAGAACCAATATTCTTGGCGCTATGAAAGTCAGAAATTTGTTGAAATCCTTGTTTAGCAAAATGTAAAAAGTGCAATGAAATTTCAAGATTCCCCAATTTTAAAAGTATTAAGATACAGCTTTAATATTTGGGATTAATCAATAAATTTGTCAGTTATCAGCTCTCTCCTGTTAATTCCCCTCTGCAAGTATCCACTGCCTTAACCGGGTATTGAACTCTCACCCTTTGGGTCCTGTCACTGGATCTAACCAAGGCCTTTATCCACTGTGCCATGTGTCCTGATAACTGACATCCATTAAACATGGCACGTGGAACTAGAACAGTCTACCCCAGTGAGCAAAATGAAGGGTTCAGTTTGACATTCCAACCACCTGAAGAAGGCCGGAGTGTACAACAGCTGAAACATTGTAATAAATATGGCAGCAAAGAGGAGGACAATAGTTCAAATAATGTAAATAGTGTACATAATACCTCATCTCAGAAATATAGACAGATAATGATGAATGTTTTGCAGGAGTGCATGAATGACGGAGTAAACAGTTCATGCTACTATTGATAGGCTATGTTGTTATTGATATGTTATTAATATATGTCATTGATATATTACTGATGTTATTATTGATATTATTATTATTTATGTTACATTATGCTATTATAATCAATACAATATATTTTGTGCACAAATTTTGTTTTTCATTTTTGTATGTTTCAGAAACAAACTGCTTGTAATTCACAAAATATGACTAAAATCAGAAAGTCCTTGTGATATAGGTATTCAGAAAGCTACTTGACTAATCATGAAAATTTTATTTTTCATCTAATTAGATACTAATTAATAGATGACTTAGGGGAAAAATACTTATTGGAGTAAACACAGTATGACAGAACGATTTTTTTAAAATGCATTTAAAATAACCACAAGATTAAGAGTAAACGGTGAAACAAATATATCAAGAGGGTCGATATTGTTTACCATTGCCTCTGCTGAGGAAAATTTCCTTATTAAAAATCGAGTCAGAATATTGAATCCTGTTCTGAAACGACGCGTGCCAATTTAGTATACGAACCTTTCTCTTTTTGTGACAAATTTTCAATAATAAGGCTTCAACTTCAACATTTTCAACATCTGAGGAAGCTAGAAAAAAGAAAAACTATTTTACTGAAAAAATTTGAAGATATTTACAGTGTGTGTGGCTAAGTTGCAATTTTGCAAAAGGAAATTAATTAAAAACCCAAACTTCTGCTGCAAACTTCGGTCTTATACTGTAATAGAACAGGCTCAATGTAGCCATCAAAGAGAAAAAACAAGGCGGAAAAGATTTGATTTTTTTTTTTTTTTAATGGCTTACCAACCCTTTGTGTATTATTTAACACCCAAACGTTTTTTATGCAAGTGAATATTGCATTAACAATTTTTTGAGAGAATAGCAATTATTTTTTTCAAATACAATTCTTACGATTTAACCCATAACTGGGGAAAGAGAAGGATTCATACATTTCCCAATGGTATTAGTGTGTAAGTGAATGCAGTGAACTTACATGGAATTTAAACTCAGCTCTCTAATTTCTCATTCTGAACTGCTAACTACCTACACATTTGTAAAAGAGAGAGCGGGGGCAAACGAGAAGAAAGGGGGAGGGCAAGATGTGGGGGGGGACGAGAAGAGAGCCGGAAGGGGTGCGAGAAGAGAGCCCGGGGGGGCACGAGAAGAGAGCCGGGAGGGGGGCACGAGAAGAGAGCCGGGAGGGGCACGAGAGAAGGAGGGGGAGGGGCGAGCCGGGAGGGGAGGGGGACGAAGAAGAGAGCCGGGAGGGGGGGGGGGAGCGAGAAGAGAGCCGGGAGGGAGAGGGGACGAGAAGAGAGCCGGGAGGGGGAGAGGGGACGAGAAGAGAGCCGGGGGGAGAGAAACGGGGAAGAAAGAAAAAAAAAAAAAAAAAAAAAAGGAGGAGAGGGAGCAAAAGAAAAATATAGAATAGTCAATTATTTTATTTTTGACAATTTTTTTCTTTTTCTTTCAAATAAATTAAAACCTCTTATAAAATTAATTAAGAATATCGTTTCTGATGTCAAAAAAAAAAAAAAAAAAAAAAAAAAAATGATTTTGTCCGGCTCAGCAGTGGAAACTGAAAATAAACATACATACCCTGTTTATCAAAAAAGCCTGAGAATGAAATATTCATGTATTCCGATTTGTACCTGAAAAGGAAGAAAAAATTATATATTTGAAGCTATGTATTGTTATAAACATACAACCCTACCCTCTACCAAGCTTTCCACCAACAGACAGACCAGCCAATAATTACCCTACGTTGGATTTGGATTCTTGATCTCACTTGTTGCATCAAAATCTGGGCAAGGGACCTAACTGTATTTATATAGAATAGACTTTTTTTATTGTCTTTACCTGCTCTCCTGGATAGGTAGGGGATACTGAACAACTTCTATGGATCTCTACCAACTCCTCATCCCGATATGATGGCCGGCAATTACTAATGGACAGTATTGGAACAACACTGACAAATCCATCGCCCCAGCAAGCATGGAACAGAATGGAATCCGATCACAAGCATGACTTAATATAAACCAGCAACTGGATAAAGCCTATTTCCAGCTTTGTCGTTATCTGATCTCTAAAAATCCCTCATCTACTCATTTACTTCCCTGTTCCCTATTGCTCAAAGTGGATGCTGCTTAGAAGACTGAATTTTAAAAGTAACAATCTGTTGATAAACAAAAACACTTGAGAGAAAACCATTTTTTCCCTTTCTACATGGATGTACATTGTTGTCTCATTCATTTTATGATTAATTAGCAAGAGCATTTGCTTAAATAGGTATTCCCATTGCTAGATGATTGTGGTAAACAATTTTTTTTTTTTTTTTAATTTTAAGAATATTGACAAAACTTTTAGAATCCAAATTTGTCCTCTCAATTATTTCCAAGTATAAATTTGCATTCCAATGCATACATACAATTCAAATTCAAAATTGGTACAACATGAAGAAACATGTTGAAAATTCCTATAAAAATGAAATCTTTGGTGTTCAGTTTTGTTTTTAATCAACCCTTATCAAAAAAGGATTGTTGATAAATCCAAGAGATCAAACAAAATTATCAATATCTGTCATCACACTACAACAATAATAATTAAGAAAGGGCTCGAGTCAATGTGTGGTATTATTTTCATGCATTTTTCAAAAGGTGCCACATGCTAGGATCATCTCTACAGGCGTTAACCTTCACCACACTGCAGATGACAATAGTCGCCGTATAATTCTCTCCCTTTGCTACTCTAGGTTCATACTGTTGCCTTGAGACAGTTGCTATAAATAAACACTAGTCAACTGTTATTTTTGCTATCTTAAGTAGGAAATTGCCTACTACTACTTTCGAACAAGGCTAAAACTCCATTTTCCAATGCCATTTTGAATTCTTCTAGACTCTACACAAGGTATATCATCGATTAAACTTGTTAATTTTTTCATGATTATTTTGTAAACAAAAAATGGACACATCAATAACCAACAAAGCCTTTATTTAGGATTTTTTCTTTGATTAACACTCCGATTATGATTTTGAAGGCTTTACTTGAGTGGGTATTGATGGTGAAGTAGTCAGATGATAACCACACTAGTGACATAGAGGAAAGTGAGGATGATCACTAGCGGCTACTATCATCCATGCTTAACTAATTTTATGGAAGCTACTGGCAACCATCAATATATCTGATAACCTTTCTGAAGGTGAATTATTCTATTTATTTATAAACAACGAAATAACTATTTGTCAGCGAGACAAATAAATATGAACCAGGTGAAAGAAAGAGCAACTGGCTGTAAAAAAATAATTCAATGGATAAAAGCACATACAAGTTACATATTTAGAAAGATTATTTTATTTTTACAGCCACATGAATATTTTTTAAGATTGGGCCAGAAATACACAAGAAATTATGAGTTGAACGGACTAAATAGAAATTAATTTATCAATCACAAACAAAATCAGATATCGACTGGAAATGTTATCATTACACAACAAAATGAATGGCTTCCTCAGAAAGCAAAAATACTAAATTAAAATCCAAACAACCAAATTGAAAACCATAGTATCAAGGGAGAAAAAAAAAAAAAAAAAAAAAAAAATCAATTTTTCCACTACTGTCAAAGTTAAATTTTAAATTTCAAATTCCAATACAGTCTATATACCAGGGTTGAAACATACTTCTCGTTCGCTGAAACAGATTTATACCAACCCTATGTGATTTTGGATTTTGTTGTGAAATATATATCTCACTAATACTAAAAATCTTACTCAATGGCATCATCCAAACTAGGGTTGAAGCAAATTCACAAAAGTCATGCACAAATGATTGAAATAGTTTGGTAGGATACATAAAAAAGCCAGCATTTCCATGAGCTTTGTATGAAGGAAGTGTTCTGAAATAGCCTTGTCAGGCCAAGACTTTTATATAGATGCCACACTTGGCAGCTTATGCAGCTTTGACAGAGTTAAATTGCATTCACCACTACAAATTGCTACAAAACCAAAACATTAACCTGAAAAATAGTCATGTTCTGAAATACCTTGACAGCTCAAGTCTTTTATATAGATTCCACACATAGCTGCTTTGACAGAGATAGTTTCACCCACTACCACAAATTGCTACAAAACCAAAACATTAACTTGAAAACTAGCCATGTTCTGAAATAGCCTAGTCAGATCAAGACTTTTCTGTAGATGTCACACATGGCAGCAAACCCATTCAGAAATATGTCATCTATATACAACTGCTTTCTAAGATCAATAGTTAAAAAAGGGTTTCAGCAAGTGAAGGCTGAGGATCTCAAATGAAATGTAAGAGCCAGGGTGCAAATTTACTGCAGATGACTTTGCAAGTAAGGCACTATAAAACATTTACATCATAGTGAATTATTTTCTTTCATCAGAGTAGGATTGTTTTATGTAAAATAGTGCTACACCATGTTGACAACAGTTTAAAACCTGGGGTTCACTGGAAATCAACCAAAGAAAATGACCTAATACAATCTTTTCCCACTATATATATATATATATATTAGATAGATAGATATCTCCAAGTATAGGATTGGTGTATACAGAATAAATTCCAATAACCAAAAAATAGTATTCTTAAAAAAGTGCTCAATATAGAGTAGAGCAAATATAATTTATTTGAAAATTATAACATAAATATGTCATTACATACATACATACATGCATGCATGCATACATACATACATACTAAAAAAAAACCTTTCAGAAAAAAAAAAAAAAAAAAAAAAATAAAATAAATAAATCTCCATAGACACTTAACCAGACTAGACTATGTCATCTTCCGCTTTAAATTTAGACACCCCAACCTTACCCTGACGTCTTTGAATGTAACTGAGATATTGATACAAATTAACCCTTACGCCACTTTTCTTTAAATAATTGCTCTCGCCATTACCATAGTAATTTTAATAATGAATATGCTTATAAAACGTGTAAATTTCAGGAATTAGTTATTCAAAAAAAATTTCGCTTGAAGATGGAACAGAGCTTGGCACTTTAATTCAAATAATTATATTGAAGTTTTCGGCTCTTGTTTTGAAACATGAGAACTCTTATGTAGCGACGGAATCATATTTCTAAATAAATAATTATATTTATGCTCTACTTTTGTATCGAGCACTATTTTTTAAAAACAATAACAAAAATACTAAAGAAGTCTGGATTATTTACCTAACGAGTTCTTTCCTATTTTCTATATATTTTTACACACACACAGTGTAAGAAAGAAAAAACAGTGCTCAATGACAAATAACAGAACTATATATATATATATATATATATATATATATAAATAATTTACATTGATTGCACAACTGAGATTCATGCCTTCTGCATTCATCAGGTGCAAATACTTTGGATTAACACCACTTTTTTAATATTTCTGGTTATCACAAGATATTTTATTGTTGGGGTGGATTATTATTATTATTATTATAATATTTAAATGAATTGTAGTTTAATTTTGGATTTGAATTTAGGCCCAGATTAACATTTAAGATTGAAAATAAGGTTGGAAATTAGAATTATAAAATTCTCATTTGAAGAGATGCTGTTATCAAAAAGAAAAAGGAAAAAAAAAAAAACGTTCGGAAATCAAGGGGGGGGGAGGGCAACTTTGTTTTTATGACAATCAATGAAGTTGGTTGGCTGGTTGGTTTTATGGCATATCAAAACCTCAGTGGGTCATTTAATGCCAACAAAATTTTTGAAATAGATTCATAGCAATAGTTTGGTAAAAAAAAAAAAAAAAAAAAAAAAAACATATATATGTATACACACACTATATATATATATATATATATGTGTGTGTGTGTGTGTGTGTATATATGTATGTGTGTGTATATTTGAACCATTTTTCAATTACTCATATCTTTTAGAAAATTTACAATCTTGGATGGTTTTATTTTTGTAAAAAGTTTTTTTAAATTACTCACTTGGTAATATTTTGTTCGCAGTAGATCAAAATCTACACACTCTAACAGTATATGTTTCACTGTAAATTTCTCTTGGCATGTCGTGCATAGTGGGGATTTTGTCCCCTCTAGTAAATAATGGTGGGTGATGTAGGTGTGGCCTATATGAAGGCAGGTCAGCACGACCTGTTCTCACCTATTTTTACATTCTGAGTTCCATTCTGTAATAGTGGGTTTAATGTTTTGGAGTTTGTTATTAATGAATGTATTACAATGGTGTTGCCATTTTTTAATGACAATTTTCTTTACAACCATCTTATAATCACAGTATGGAACCTTTGTGTTTGTTATTGCATCCTTCATGGCCATTTTTGACTCTGAATCCAACTTGTCATTTCCAAGATGGCTTGGGATCCAACAATAGATTATTTCTTTATTTTTAGACAAGTGGTACATTCTGTTTAGTACTTGTGTGGTTAAAGGGTCACTAACATTTTTATTTTTTAATGCAGTAAGTGCAGGTAAAGAGTCTGTGAAAATTATGAATTTATTGTGGGGCGTTGTGGTTATCATATCAAGTACTAAATCAATCAATGAAGGAATTAATAATATTAATAAACCAAATAAAAGTAGTAATATCAATAATAACGAAATATGCTGTGATAAAATAAAATTCAAGTACTAATAAAAATATATATCAATGGAAATAAAATAAAAGCCATAAAAATATGGAAAAGTTGTGATTTCCAAACGTTTTTCTTTTTTGATAACAAAAGCAGTGTTAATCCAAAAAATTTGCAGCTGACAAACGCAGAAGGCATGAAACTACAAGTCGTGCAATCAACGTAAGGTATTATGTATATTTCTTTATATATTTTTACTACTGATGATGACCAGTGGGAAGCTTCCTACCAAATCTTTTGTTCATCTAGGAATACTGTATGGTACCTTTACAAATCCCAACTGTATAATATAGACGGTCAGGTTTCATATGTATACCAAGAATACCAGCCTTATTACCATACTGTGTACTATTGAAACAAAACAGTTCAATAGACCTACCGGTAATTTCAGATATACACTCAATTCCCAATACCTACTATCCGTCATTTTTTTTTTTTTTTTAATAGTGCCTCACGCCATCTGCAGGCAGACAAATCAACTACCATCATCAAAGCAGATGACATCACCAATCTTGGATATAAGCACACCGTGTATTGGGATATGTGTGTGTGTACCCATACCATCAAAAATGATGGCAAAGTTTTACTAGTGAAAAGCGATGAAACAAAAGTCTTGGAAAAAGCTGAGATAAAGAATTCACAACTAAAATAGAGACAAATGAACCATTTTAATTAATCTGTTCCCTTTATATTTTTTTTTTTTTAGACGTTCAATGGTATCTATGATTCATTGATTACTCCTGGTATTATATAAATCACATTTTACTCAATATCATTTCATGTAAAAACTTGTGTGCTTAATGCAATTATCTTTTGGAAGAAAAAGATTAGCAAAACGATGATCAGTATGGCAATGATAAAACCTATAACGACACTCAATAGACAACGGTATCTAAGTGCCACACATGAAAGGCTTGAACAAATAAGACTGCAATCTAAGAAACACAGGAGTAAAGGAACTGATTAATTGGTTCATTTTGGTCAGGAAGTAATTTTGGACCTAAATATTGTATTTGTATAGATTAAGTAATCACTCATAAATTTACTAAGTTGACTTACCCACTTCACCAATACAGATGGGACAGGAAATATATAAATACACATTGACAATTATATGGTTTGAGATAGAAATTTAATTTACACAAAATAATTCATCTTAGCTTATCGTCCAAATATTGTTTGGGCAACTGAAGCCATTTTTGTGTACTTGATGGTATCCTTCAGGATTAAATTAAATAAAAAAAAAGTACTTAGTATTTTAGGGGTTTTTTCAAAAAGAAAAATAAGTTCTCATAGAATTTACACTTGACCATTTCTAAAGCAACATTGTGTTAACATCAAGTATACAAAGTTTTAATTGTAGAAACAATATTTGTAATATTAATAACACTTCTCACTATTATAGAGAGTTTGGTTTGGTTTCAGATTTGGTTAATACAGACACTAAAAAAGGCAATACAAATTGTCCATGTTGACTTACCTTTCATTCAAAGCAAGTTTTTTGTACTTAGCATCGACTTTGGCAAGAATTGAACTCACAGGGAAATCTTTCCTGCAAAAAGAAGAGAAAATTAATAAAATACATTTTTTTTGGCTTGTAGAATGTCAATTAAAAAAAGAAAAGAATAAACTTTAATTGTAAGATAGAATGTTGGGATGTGAGCAAAAGAGACAACTCAAATTATGATGAGGAAAAGAAACGGAGACAAATAAGGGGGAGTGGGGGAAGAAAAAAACAAAACAAAAAAAAAACAATGTCAACAAGAGAAAAAAAGGAAACAAGAGAAAAAAAAAAAAACGAAACGAGGAAAAAAAAACAAACAAAATAAACGGCAACAAGAGAAAAAAAAAAAAAAAGAAAATAAAAAAAACGCCAACAAGAGAAAAAAAAAAAAACGAGAGAGAGAAAAAAAAACGCCAACGAGAGAAAAAAAAAAAAAAAAAAACAACAAGAGAAAAAAAAAAAAAAACGCCAACAAAGAAAAAAAAAAAAACGCCAACGAAGAAAAAAAAAAAAAACAAGAGAAAAAAAAAAAACGAAGAGAGAAAAAAAAAAAACGCCAACAAGAGAAAAAAAAAAACGCCAAAAAAAAAAAAAAACGCCAACAAAAAAAAAAAAAAACGCCAACAAGAGAAAAAAAAAAAAAAAAAAAAAAAAAAAACGCCAACAAGAGAGAGAAAAAAAAACGCCAAAAAAAAAAAAAACGCCAACAAGAGAAAAAAAAAAACGCCAACAAGAGAGAAAAAAAAAAAACGCCAACAAGAGAGAGAAAAAAAACGCCAACAAGAGAAAAAAAAAACGCCAACAAGAGAGAAAAAAAAAAAGCCAACAAGAGAAAAAAAAAAACGCCAACAAGAGAAAAAAAAAAAAACGCCAACAAGAGAGAAAAAAAAAAACGCCAAAAAAGAAAAAAAAAACGCCAACAAGAGAGAGAAAAAAAAAACGCCAAGAGAGAGAAAAAAAAAAAAAACGCCAACAAGAGAGAAAAAAAAAAAAAAACGCCAACAAGAGAGAGAAAAAAAAAAAAAACGCCAACAAGAGAGAAAAAAAAAAAAACGCCAACAAGAGAGAGAAAAAAAAAAAAAAAGAACAAGAAAAAAAAAAAAACGCCAACAAGAGAGAGAAAAAAAAAAAAAAAACAAGAGAACAAGAGAAAAAAAAAAAAAACGCCAACAAGAGAGAGAAAAAAAAAAAAAAACGCCAACAAGAGAAAAAAAAAAAAAAAAAAGCCAACAAGAGAAAAAAAAAAAAACGCCAACAAGAGAGAGAAAAAAAAAAACGCCAACAAGAGAGAAAAAAAAAAAAAAAAAACAAGAGAGAGAAAAAAAAAAAAAAACAAGAAAAAAAAAAAAACAAGAAGAGAGAAAAAAAAAAAAAAAAAAAAAAAAAACCAACAGAGAGAAAAAAAAAAAAAACGCCAAAACAAGAGAGAAAAAAAAAAAAACGGAGAAAAAAACAAGAGGAAAAATAAAACCGAGAAAAAAAAAAAAAAAAAAAAAAAAAAAAAAAAAAAAAACAAAAAAGGGAGGATGAAAAATAGAAAACAGGAGAAACGGAAATGGGAGGAAAAGAAACAAAGTGAGAAAAAGAATCAAAAATGAAGAAAAAAAAAAAGTCTCAATAGAATCATATTTTTAGAAAGAAAATAATTATAATATTATGCTCTACTGTTTATATTGAGACCCCCCCGCCTTTTTTTTTTTTTAAATAAAAATAATTGCTAAGAACAAGATTATAAATCTTACTGTTCTTTCTTATTATTTTAGTGTGTGTGTGTGTGTGTATATATATATATATATATATATATATATATATATATATATATAAATGTATACTTTCCTCCTCACAACTGTGTTTCGTGCACAACTCAATCTTCAGGTGCTGACTGAAAACTGACCATTACATAATTTAACTTTTGACATATATAGTGGAACTGTCTATATTATTTACAGGGGTTTGTTTCAGAAAGAAAAAAAATGTACAGAAACACATCGACATAACTGATACATCTCCAACTACAAAAATGGAATTATAATTCAAGTACAAATATGCGCATCTACATTATATATCAGCCATTTAATACTTTATAGGTGACATGGTAATCATCCTTTTAATGTTTGTTTGGGAGTTATGGGTCTAAGTTGACTTCCAGTGTGTGTGTGTGTGTGTGTGTGTGTGTGTGTGTGTGTGTGTGAGAGAGAGAGTGAGAGAGATATTACATGTTTCACCTTTCTGGGCTTCATCAGATAAAAAAACGAAAGTGTGTATGCGCTTAAATAATAAATCATTAGTGCTTTTTACGACAAGCTCAGATTTCTCCCGATTAAAGAAAAGAATAAAAATGAGTGACACTTAAAAAAGCTGTCAATATTTATACTGTATTTTTACTTTATAATACTTACTTTATGTCAAAAGTTATTCATATAGTCTCCCAGCTTTCCGGCATTGAATTTAAGGTAAACTTATTTTCCAAATGGCATGAAAGTAAAAGATTCATAGACTTTTTAGTATAGACTTTTCTAAAGGTCAATCCTTATTCAATTTTTTCAGTTGAAATTAAAAAGATGTTTTTTGGCCTGTCCATAATTTATAACTTTTATTCTAATTCAAGCCCTATTTTATTAACACCAGCACCACACACACATGGTGGAAGCCTACTCTGACTCACAACTCCCAAAAAACATCATAGAGATAATTTCCATGTCATCAGTAATATCTTAAATGGCTAAGACCTAAAAGTTACTTGCAAGCCACTCCACACTGAGTATAGATGAGCTTTTCAGATGGCAATCTTATTTGTATGTTTACTTTTGTAGAGGAAAAAGTGTGCAAAAATCCAAGAAAAGAAATAAACTTCAAGTACAGCTCTACAAATTTAAATAATTAAAAAAAGCAATCTTTGTTTTCTTTCAAGTTGAAAGAAAACAAAATTCAAAGAAAAATAATTTGTTTTTCTTTTTTTACAACACAACAGAAATGAGCATGATCAAAAAGCTGTATGTGACTACTTAAGAGTTACGTATTTGCATTGTTTTATGTATGCATGTAATTTTCCATTTTTCATTTCCACTTTTGACGGGTAGTATTAAGTTTATGTAATTTAACAGAGAGGGTAGCAAGGAGTGGTGTGAGAGACATGGTCGAGTTTAGAGAGGGTTTATTTTATTATTTCTTTCTATCATCCTCAGTATTGAGGAAGGAGGGACCAGACATTGATCTATTTAAACAATATATAACAATTATGATAAAGTCAGTAGGTCATCTTACATTTTGAAACTTCAGTTTTGTAAATAATAAAAAATATTTATCCTTTTTGTCTTTTTTTTTTTTTAAATCGGTTTTCTTTCTTAAACACAAACTTGGAATTGTTCTTTATATTAAACGTAAAAGAAAACAGTAAAAAAGATAATTTTTCATCTTTTTATTAACATTTTAAGATATATATATTTTTTAAAAAGTTGCACTTTTTTGTCTGTTTTTTGTACATCCTTTGCATTAATATTGGATATTACTGGTTAAGTTTCATTCAAGAAGTTTTAATATGTTTGGAAGCAATAATTTAATGATAAAAAAATTAATTCCATTTTATTGCTAAAAAGCAACACTTTTTTTGAATGGAGTGACTTTAAAAAATAAAAAAGTCAATGAAGATTTAGCAACAGCAAATTTAATTAAACTTTTAAAAGAAATCTTATCAAAATAAAAACAAATCATTAAATTATGAGTGTTCCTCGGTTAAAGTACTTATGATGATGCTGGCCTCACAGCAAAGTTAGAGTGTGTGTGTGTATGTTTGGGGTGGGGGGTCCTGTTGTACAACATTACTGATAATTAAAAACTGAAAAACCAACATTAAAACTGCAATATCAACAGGAGAAGGGAAAAAAAAAAAAACGAAAGCAATACTGAAACAAAAATATCCAAACCGATCAACTCTAACACTATGGTACCCAGATTGTATGAATTTAAGTACAATACTAGACTGGCAGCAAGATCTCATCAATTTACAGTTGAGCTAGCTAGATATCGATAATTTCTATGCTAACAGTTTCTTATCTAATACTTCTTGATTGTAAAAAAAAAAAAAAAAAAAAAAAAACACCCCCCTCCTGGTTTCATGCTTTCCAACCAACTTTAATCTGCAAAAATTTAAATGCAACATCAATTGCTATATGTTGTCCTCCTGATTGCTTTCTTTCTCCTCATTACTAATGTTTCTGTTCCTAATTCATTCACACCCTGTACCCCCTTGTGTGTTAGTGGCTGTACTGTCTTGCTTGGGGTGATACTGATATTAAAAAAAAAAAAAAAAAAAAAAAAAAAAAAAAGAGTAATACTTAAGTGTGTTGGACTAAAAAGCAACAATAAAAAAAAAAAAAAAAAAATAGTTATAAAATAACAGCAATAATGAAGGAAACCCAGAATGTTGGGATAAAAAGCAACAATGGATGGAATAAAACTAACAGCAAATTAATATTCAATATTGTAAGACAAATGGGGGTGACTAAAAAAATAAATAATATAATTTGCTTGTTCTTATTTTTTTGGCAGTCTTTCTTTACATCTGTTTATTTTTACTGTATATCGTTTAATTTTTTTTTAATAAAAAAAAAAAAAAAAAAAAAAAAAGAAATAAAATTTGTTTACAACACAAATAACAAAATTTACAAACTTATGACATATTCTCAATAAAAACATTAAGTTACATGACCTTATTCAAAAACAAATTTAAGTCCTAAATGTCAAAAACAATGCTTTTTCCTTTTTAATTTAAATCTTGAAATCAGCCCTGAAAATTTACCCAGCATCCTACAGGAGGAAAGGTTACTTTTTTCTTCTTTTCTTGCTTTATGTAACATTGCAAGTCAAAATTAGGACATGTCCTGGATCACAGGAAATATGGTAATTCAGTTCATATTTTCTTTTATAAAGATTTTTTTCCCAAATAAGGTGATAAACCATTTAAACACAAACGGTTATCAAGAGTGAAAGAAAAAAAAAAAATTTGAGAACAATAAAAGACCAGGATTCAAGGAAAAAGAAGATGACAA